AAAAATGTTGTAACACCTTGAAAGGGGTGATTCGGGAGGAGATTTGAGACAACTTTTTCCTTAGCGAAAATGCTTTGCGGGTTTTCGTTGAGGAGATATTAACGGAAAACACTGACCAATCAGAGCGCGAGTATCCCCGTGGGGCGCTCGCGGTAGCGAATTAGCGCGGCCGCCTAGCGCGTAGTCTTCGCTACCACGGCCGCTCCATCGGCATACTCGCGCTCTGATTGGTCAGTATTTTTCGTTAATATCTTCGTAACGAAGCCTTGTACAACATTTTCGCTAAGGAAAATGTTGCAATGCGTTACAACATTTTTGAGACACCCTGTATATGTTATTTGTTTTCAGCCATTTCGAGATATACAGACCTGCACCACCTATCAAAAATCGGCATGGACTTTCCGGACAACCCAATATAAACCTTTAAGAATGTGATCCTGAAGTTTTAGATTAATATTCAAAATGGCTAACCCTATAATAAACGAATTGCGAACGAAAATCCAGTAATCCGTCTTCATGTAATACGAAAGCAATTTTATTCGAACAATAGACAACGAATAAAAACAATGAGTAGCGATTAGACGTCAAATTCTAACTTTTGTTCAATGAATAATAGGTAAAAAAGTATTTATGTACGTTGTCCATTTAATTTCATAGATAAGTGAGGAAATTACGTTTGAAAAGCACAGAACAGCAATGACCTACGATACACTCCAGAGCAAATACACAACGGACCAATGAGCATCCGTTGCCAGTTGCGTAGGTTAGGTCATCGAGTTTTTCTTCGCGCAAAACAAAGTGTAAACGCACACTTTCTTTTCCTCTAATCTCAACGCTCATCCTTCACGCGTCCGATACACTACTTCCGTAATATATTCACTCTCACATTTACCCACTCCCACGATTACGGCCTGCTAACGATGCAAATTATCATCGAGTTATTGATATAAATTGATGTCTGAGCGACCGTTGAATCAGCCAATGGGGCGCGCCGAGTTTAACGAAACGACAATTTTGATTTACAACCTTTTCTCTGCTTAGAACGGAATATCCTCCCGAAATATAAACCGTTATCTCGGAACCAAACGACGCCGTGCGTTATCTATTGTTTATAGTTTTCGCGAGACAATTTGTACCGAGTTAAAACAGAAGAATATCTGACAAGTCTGTATCTCGACGAGGAGACGATTCCTTTTGTGCTTTCGAATGACCCATTGCAAATTGAATTTAGTTTGTGATCATTAGACTGCGGATCTGTACGCAAAATAAAATCTTCGCGTACGTGCCTAGAAAAATTGAATCTAAATAGGAATTTATTTTACTTTTCCAAATATTATAACACGAACTTTATTATCAATCTTTTTTATACTCTTGTATATTGTTTGCATTTCGTAGTTTCTTGCACATTCAAATTTCCTATGAATGCATAAAGATCCGCAGTCTAGCGATAAATATGATCTAGTGATCATATTTGACATCCTTATGCCTTTAGCCGTTTTATATTACAAGACTTGCAACAATCGAATAAGGAAAAAAGGTTGAAACGAAATTGTTAAAAGTTTTTGAGATTTATCGACTGACCCGTTCCTCGAAAGCTTTCAGCTCGTCCAGAAGATCCTCGCCAAACAACCGATGCTTCAAACTCTCCACGTCGCGCTTCAAGTCCTCGATCTCGCGTGCATTGATCAGAGAGCGTCGCAATTTCCAGGTTTCCAGTCCAAAACACAGAAAAGCGATGGTCAAAGCAGCAACGCTCAGTATCGTGTTCCTATCGGGCCTGAACCGGTGCTTGTTGAACCCCTGCTCGAGCTCCGACTGCGAGATGCTCAGGTTCTCCCTGGAGAAGCTCAAGAACGAGCGCGATTCCTCCTTCACGTGGACGTCGTTCATCATCTTCTGCTTAATCTTCGCGACCTTCGTCTCACCTTCAGACAACATGGATGTCATATCGATTGAAATAAACACACGCGCGGGCTCGCAATGTCAACGAATCTCTAAATGACACTTGAATTTCCGTACAATAACACGGTCGAGTGAAAGACGATATCCTCTATCGAAATTTCTGTATTCATTCGTCGGGAGAATCGTGTTTGCTTACGTCCACGGAGTCCATCACCGAAGTCGACGCTCTCACGAATTCTTTTCTCTTATCGATTCGCGATCGGCGTACATTATTTTTGGGAAACGGAACCAGGAAGAATTTTTCGTACAACTGTTTATTGTCAATTGTTATTCGTTCAAATCCGTTGTTCGTCTTCGAATGATCACACACTTTTGTTAATTTCGACTCTTCCATTCATAGGTTAAGTCTAAATAAATTGCTCGTTTAAGCCCGTCTAATTGTCTTCCTTTGCTTATCACTTGTTGCGAGAGGTATTTTATCTAGAAGAGAAGTTTGCCCACCTCCGTTTGGTAGAGCGGTTCGCCGATGTCATCTGCGCTTTAGCATTTCTTCGCCCCCGCTCGTATGACACAATCGCTAAAAGAAACTGCGACGACGCGAGAACGATTCGAATCTAGCTTTTCCACTCTCGTGCGGGTTCTCTGTCGCGGAACAAACGCGACGAAGGCTACACCGAAACCAACGCGAAATGCGTTATTCTCGACGATGAACTTTTATTCGAATAATAGATGAACAGACAAGCCGTTCAACGATTCGTCAGGTTGATTCGATTCAAGACTTCGAACTCGTATAAAAATGAATTGTAACTTCGTAGTATACTGCGAACACTTTTATTCTACAAGTAACAAAGTTGTTTATCCGTTTCTCGTTATACGAAGTGTGTACTTAGACGAGGATCTTGCACATCTCTGGTTGACAGGTTTGTTGGTAGTAAATCAGGTGAAGATTGTGTAATCGTCACGTTAATTTCGGTAGCCGGTTGTTCACCTGCTTCGACGACTTCCTAGGCGACGAATCAAGACGTTAAATGTCCCGCATCCTGGTCCCCGAGACCTCTTTAAAACCTGTCCGGTAAGTTTTTTTCCCCTTGAGAGAACCGCGAGCAGGCAAGAGTATCGAAGATTCGACCCTTTGGCCCCTCGACTCCTCCCCCGTTCTGCCTTTTGTCCCTTGTCTCCTCTTCTTAGTCTTGGCCGGTGTCTATGCAACGTGCGCTCGATCTTGTCGATCCTTTCCACTCGCCAACTTGTTCTTCTTATAATCTCTCGACGCACCGGAGAAATTCAGAAACGATGCCAGTTTCATAGGGGGGAACGAGTGGCGATCGTTCCACGAATCGCAATAATTGGAGACTCGAGGTTTATAAACGAAAAGAGAAGCGAACCGATGGATGCGCGATTTGGAACGTTCTTTTCGCGTAACTTGGACTCGAGCAGCGAAAGAAGATGCAACCAGCGTGTCCGAAAGACACGAACGTACTGAGTTGGACCTGTGGAACGCGTTCGAGTTTATCACAGCAGCGCCTCGCTACTGGATCTCAATGGCGTGGGATCGGTGATTCGTCGCCGAGATGAAGCTTCCCTCTAACGCTCTATCGATACGATAGCATGACGTCTTTACCCCGTACGTAATATTGCTCCATGACAATTTGACAATATGTCGCTTATTTATTTGTCATTAATTTATCAATTTAATATCTTTTAATTCCTTATATTTTCTCCTTTTTTTGTTTGATGTAAAAAATTTCACGTTGGCATCGAACGATTTCATAAACACTCGTAGACAGATTTTTTTTATATCAAGAGAACGTGTCTGGGAAAGGAGTGGAACGAATTTCTGATTTCTGAAAGACGTCATTTCCAAGAAAATTTTTAGGAATGATATTCGCATAACTGCTAAAACGATGACAAATATTAATATTATTATTATATAATAATTCTTTATTTATATGTTTATATTTCACGTTATTCGAATAACAGACCTGGGCATTTTTGAAATTATATTACTTGATTATCCTCAAAGTAATACGCAACAAGAATAATTACAAGTAGTTGTTTCTTATTTTCCTTTCAATTTAAATATGTCCAGGCCTGATATGCATATAAATATACATATACAAATAATTACGCAATACATAAAGATAACATCAAAACGTGTTTTCACGCATAAGCATGATGTAAATAGTCGGCAAAGTCCTTGTCGCGCCCTATACGATTACATTTACCATGGAAAAGATTATCGTATAACGACCACTCATAAAAATCAATTTACAACCGCAGAACCGTTGCTTTTCCCGCCAAGACGCTATCGCTTGATACATCCTTCGTCGAAGCGATATTTCTCGGAGAAATTCCTTTCGTTCCTTCTCACGAGAGTGTTTCGCAGGTAGCGACGGTTCCAGGAGTAACCTCGTGTCAAATTCGGGCCACACTGGACGTCAACCGAAAGCATCTCGAATCTGAGACGTCTTCCGGTTGCAAGAGCAACACAGTACCCGCGCTGACATCGGTGATGATAAAATTCCAAGTCGCTAGATTCTTTCTCGGAACACGTGTGCAGCGCGGGGAGAATTATAGCGAATACTGGTGGGCGTTCAACGTCTTTGCTTCGTAAAAACTCTGGATGTTCTGTTTCAATAGTGTGAGAATATATTACCTATTCTCATTTTCAATTCATCGATAAATTGATTGTTATTTTCGATAATCTCAACGTATAATGTATAAGTCAACTGAGAAGACAAGGGACAAGATAAGGTAGGAAGGAATGAGTAGAACACAAGATAAGGCAGGGAGGAATAAGTAGAAACGTCGGTAAGTAATATGTGCAGGTCAAATAGCGAAACAGGATACACAATGTAGATACACAAACATATGTGACGAGCGGAGAAACAGTCAACAGTGCTACTGTACGTAGGTATAGTCGTACGTGCCGTTTAGGGACTCTCCTGTACGTTGTTGTAAATTAGACAAAATTGATTTTGATATCGAATTTCTTTTGCGTAATAGGGAGCGAACAAAGACGACACAATGATGTCAACAGACACTCTGTATTACATATTCAAAAGGACCGAGATGGAACATTTATCACGTTCGAGATAATCGAATTGCCAACAAACGATAGGGCGAAATCTTCGAATTCAGTGCAACGTTCGTCATAACCTGCAATCTCGCGTTACAAGTGTCAGAATTTGCGCAAGCAAAATGGTACTGCGCACCGATTTGTATAAAATTGCACGTTTAATCGGTTCTTTCACTCTTGACTCGCGATAGATGATTAACGACACTTTAATTACTATATCATATTGAACACCCTAATATCTATTAGGAGGTTAGGGTAAGTTCTATTATCCCAACTGCTTTACAAATATTTCTTTTAATTAATAAATAGATAAATAAATGAAAAGATAACCAATTCGACCACTTTTGTCACCCAATTAGCGCGAATACGGAATGCTCCGATGCACTCGCTACATTAAGGCGTGAAATTTTCGATAGGAATTCTGAGAAATAGTCCATCGCGCGTGAACCGTCGAGAGCTTTCGCAACGACCGTCATATTATCAGAAATTCCACAATTGCGATCGTAATTAGTCATCGCGCGATAATGGGCCCCGCGCGTGTCTTAAACCGTGGAATCGTGACTTCTCGCGGTGCCGACCGTGTAGGAAGACGAAAAATTCGTGATCAGGATCAATTTACGGTATGATGAGCGTGAAGCGTGCACGCTCGCTAGCTACCAATTATTTCATTCAGCCTTTCTCCTCGTTTCGTGGGCGCTGCCTACTCGCCGTTTCCACGACTTTGTTGCGCGTTCATCGCGTTAACGAGAAGAGAGTCAGGAGTCAGGACTCTCTGACGGCTACGTCGGTGAAATTTTCTACGATAAAAGCCGCGAAGATCGTGCGTGCAGTTATAGGGTGTGATGAAGGCTGTGCCCTACGACCGTTTCAACGCACGGCGAGCACGGAAATTTGTTGGCGCCACTAGGAAACCTCGACATGTCCACACTTCCATGGAACAGTTGGAGAGCTAGTGACCATTTTACTTACGTCATTTTATAATGGCTGATTTTCCTTATATAGAAATATATAAAATATCAATAGAAATATACATGTTGTATCGTTTAGTAGATACGACGTACTTTCATTCAAGTCTCAATTCTTTTTCTGTAGCTGTGAAAATATGATCGATACTAACAAAGATGCAATCACGATTTCATCGAGCATTGATGGGCGCCACTGCGTCAATCCAAAGCGGCAAAACTTCGCAGCTAAATATAGCAACGAAATGCAATACAACAAAAAGGAAACCAAGAAATTTCGGAGCGTTATAAACTCGCATGCCAACCTCGGGACCCATCTGTCCCCCTAGTCTCTTCTTTGTCTTCTTGCTATAATTTCGTGCGGTCCTACACACAAATGTAGTCTGTGGCTCGGGTACCTTGAGATTGCCAAACACGTACTGTAGCTACGATTGAACATAGTTACAGCCCTTGAGGACAATGTAGAGATAGGTTGGTTGGTTAATACGTTTATTGGCTTACAACTAAAATGTATACAGCCTTGTTTCCTTATTGCTAGTCATCCTTATCGTATACATCTACAACTAACGTCCATTTGAACTATTGCAGATTCCTTACTTTGGATATAACTCTCTTACTTACTATTACTATCGACAAAATTTATATAAAAAATATTTCACTATACGTCCTATATTCTAGTTATACATTTGTACTCCAAGTTGCGCACTCTGATTTCAATACTTAATCTGTAATTTCGTGATTGCATGTTAGTCAGTCTTTCTTAGGAACTCTATAAAAATACTGGCTCGTTACTTGAGCTATACAGGGTGTCCCAAAAATGTTGTAACACCTTGAAAAAGGTGGTTCAGGAGGTGATTTGAAACAACTTTTTCCTTAGCGAAAATGTTGTACGAGGCTTCGTTAAGAAGATATTAACGAAAAACACTGACCAATCAGAGCGCGTGGATACCGTTGAGCGGCTGCGCTAATTCGCTACCGCGAGCGCTCCACGGGGATACTCGCGCTCTGATTGGTCAGTGTTTTCCGTTAATATCTCCTCAACGAAAACCCGCAAAGCATTTTCGCTAAGGAAAAAGTTGTTTCAAATCATCTCCCGAATCACCCCTTTCAAGGTGTTACAACATTTTTGGGACACCCTGTATAATCCCTAGTGCTTATGTTATATAACTATATCACAGTCAAAAAATTATTCTCCTTTCGTTCTTAAATTTGTTGCATCTCCACAATATAGAGATAAGAATCTGCAAATCTGTGCTGACACCTATGTTAACTAGTTTAAACGAAGGCTCTTCGCGAATTGCCGATGTCTACTCCTATGAATCAGCGACTCGTTAGAATTGTATGGTCAGCGAATCATTAAAATTCAGTGCACCATAGAAGGCACTCGACAAATGGTAACTTGACACTCGAGCAGCGCCTGTTATGGGAAAATCGAGTGTGGCGTTCGTGGAAGCGACGTGCAGATCGAGAATAAAAACTGTTAGGTAAATAAGGAACCGCTCATGTTTGCGTCGCTAGTGCATCGTTGCATTCGGTGAAACAAGCGTGGAACCACGGATGGTACAAATTCTTATCTAAATCAAAATGTTCAACAATAAATCAAAGATAATACGTTAGTCCGAATTGGAATGACAGAATTGTATTTGTTCGTTACTAATGATCGATCGATTAATTAATAAGCACAAGTAATATTGAACTTTCAAAATATTCGAATAAATGTTTCGACATTTTAGTTCGAGGTTCTCTTTAAATAATTATTATTGAGATTTACTGAAATATTCAAACAAATATACATAGAAAATCGTGAATGAATGAATTTTATTTATAAGGCTCCGAAGTCGTGTAATGTGACTACAGCACCTGATGTACCAGTTTTACATTTGTTCAGTTTTTATATTCATTTAATTCTTGCTTTGTTTGTTAGACCACGGACCCCCTCTAGCTCGGGTACCTCGGGATTGCTAAACCTACACTGTAGCTGCGATCAAACACAGCTACAGCCCTTGAGGTTTATAAGAAAACTTGATACGGTGGCAATAGTAAAAATATTCTTTCTCTTTTCCTTCTCTTGTTAGCTGAAGTACGGTAGGAAGTCTGGCTCTCCTGCTCCATCTATTATATAATATCTCTGTAATTTAATCGCTACCTTCAACTTCACGTCACGCTCCTGGGTAGATACATTTTACTGGGTAGCAAACTTTAATTGCAAACAGCCTACACGTTGCCTCCCACGCCATCCCAAACACTCGACGTTCGCGCTTAACGCAGTATAAGTTTATTTACGTCCAACACTTGAGATGTACGTTCATCGCTGCATTATGATACGTGATTCGTACGCCTTGAACGTGATCGGAATTAAGTAGCTTCGATTGTTAGAGTAGAATATTTCTGTAAGAGAAAGGAAGATCCACAAGGACGATAGGGCATCCAAACGGAGTTTATTTTTATATCACACGGCAACAATATTTTAGAAAAATAAAAGTTCCAGTATCTGGTACACTTCTATTCAGAAAAACAAAAATTATTTCCACTTGTCTACGATGTACTAGTTTATATGTATACGTAATAGGTTATCTGGTTTCAGAGTTACTTTATGTTTGAAATTCATTCGTGTTATCTTGCTTCACGAAGCAGCTGTAAAAATAACCATGTTGAAATGATGAAATACTTTGAACATTAAGACGGTAGCCTCTCGATAGATGAAATTTCAAATATTGTTGATAAATCGGAAATAGAAGCTGATGTAATAATTATTTGTAACGCACGGGCAAAATGTTTATCTAATTTGTCTGAATAATAAATTATTTGGTAATCTAGATAAAATTCTGCTCAACTGGGCGTTATAGTACTATTTGTCTATTCTCCCAATATCCTTTGTTCTCCCATCGTCACAATTAAATAACGATACGAGATCAAAGAAAGTATACTGGAATATTACGTGTAGGTTGAAAATCCTCGAAGAAACGATGGGAAACATCCAGGTCATTTTACGCAAAAGCAGGGACCACCGTCGGCCTTGAAAACGAGTTCCGAACACAGTTTGGAATTCACCGACTACCATTGCTTAGGAACGTTTGATTTCGCGATCGTTTTCTTCGTAGGCAATATTTCCCGTAAATCTCTCGCATCCGCAAAGAACGAGCAACGCTCTCTTTATCTTATCGAGACGGTTTATGACTGCATCCAACGTTGCGAGAGGGGTGACCTTCGTATGGGGGAAGATAATATTTTATAAAAAAAAAAAATCGCCACTTTTGATTCTGGTAATGTAAATAAAAATTGCAAAAGTGTTCCGAAGCAATATTGCCTTACAACGTTTCGAAAACATTCCAGCAATGTGACTACGATATGGTGCTGAAAATATTTTGAGAACATTCCATGATAAAACCACTATTGCTTCCAAGCAAGGCTGTGTCTATATATTTTGGCGCCTGGGTCAACGCTGGAACGCACGGTCTTTCGTTTGTCCCAACGTAGTTTGTGGTAAAGCATTTGGTGGTGTTTAGTATTATTGTGAGCTATACAAGAAATTAAATAAAAAATTTAACAACAGAATTATTGCTAGTTTTTCAAAATAATACTGTAGTCATTTAAAAATATCGCTGAAACGTTTCAAGAATATTAGTGTAATCTTTAAAAAAACATTGCTGCAATATTGCTGAAACCGTTCAGAAACATCATTGTCATGTCTGAAAAGTATTATTCCTACTTTGGCGCAATACTTGAAACGGAAATACAGTAACAGTATTCAGACGGTACTCTCACAATGTTGCATTAACACGTTGACTGCTGGTCAAATATTTTTGAAAATTTCTGGTAGGGTTAAATGTTATTTAGACTATTGGAGATTACTTAATCAGATTTTTCTAACATCGTTTAAATTCATTTCCTTTGATGCTTAACTTTCAGAATGAATTGTTTTAGTTGTTCAGTGAAAAGCATCGTCAGCAATATGTGCGTGAGATGTCGATCAACGTATTAAGGTTACGCGCGTTGCGAGCAAGAACTGTTCGTCAGAATTGTACGTCCGCTCCTGCAGAAACGAGGGAAATACTATGGCGAGAGCGAAAGAGAGAAAGGCGAGCATAGTTCCTTGCCAAGCGAATGTTGGCAGCGCTCGAAGAGCGGCCAAACCGGTCGTGCGGAGTCGTCGAGACACTTAGAGACGCTTGGGCTGCGTGGTGCCCTGGGTAAACAAAAGATGGTACGGAACGGCGTCGTGTAATACAGTCGTGGCTGGAAGAGGGTGTCTCGACGGCGACGCTGCCAACAGTCGACGCCGACGATCGATTCGTGAATCGATTATCATCATTGTTGCTCTTTTCCGGCCGTCTCCCTTGGGGAACCGAGCGAAATGACACTCAGGTAAGTGACAAATTCTGTTAAACGCTAATAATGCTCGAACCTCTCACGAATGTATACATGTATATCATCTACGCCCATGTACAAAGAAAACTAAAGCGTCTCGTCGTTCATTTATTTTTATGGATTTCTATTTGTTTTGTATTCATCGTTCTTAACATGAAATACATGAGAAAAAAATTATATTTGTTTCCCATATGACTCGCAATTAATATCACAATTAATAACACAATCGTTCTTCGACTTATGGATGCATTGATGTTTTGTACAATATGCCTATTATTATCGTTAGTCTTACTACTCTTTTCTTAATTTATTTCGTCTTCTGTCTCTATTTTGCCCTTATTTATTCATCTATTTTACAATTTCCTCCATTGAATACAGACACGATTTTTCTGCAGGACTCTGAGCTTTATTTGCTTCGTTATGAAAGACCACGATAAAAAACGATTTAAGAAATACTACCGCGGAATCTGTCTTCTTTAATCCGACTTGAGTCCCGATAAAATTATAATGGACAGTTTGAATCGCGACACAGATTTCTTCTTTCTTCGTTCCTGTTAGTGACACATCCAAGTATGTGCACACGAGTGCAATGCGAGTCAGCGAAGTTACACGGTATGACGAATTGGGTCGACTTTATATGCACTTTCCTATTTACGGGTTCGTTTAGTCCGTCGTCAAGTCTTTCGATTAGTGTATCGCGTTTGTGATCACGAACATTATTCCGTTAGAATTTCGTTAGAATCCGCTCCGAGCACGTGGCACTCTGCCAATGGAAAAATAACTCGTAGACTGCTTTAACAACCACCGATAACTGTGAAAATTTGTGCCTTTGAAATCAGACAATCCGTCGTTCTTATCAACTTATCGATTGAAAGAACTTGCAACGAAAGTTCGATTACTGGAAAATTGAAGTAAAGTTGGAAATTATGGAAATGTAAATGAACTCCTTTCAAGAAATCGTGAGTTTCTATATTATAGTAAATTTTTGTAAAAATGTGAAAAGTATCGAAGAATAATTTATTCAAAGTTTTCTCGTGTCTGACATTCTACGTAATTTATTTAACATGTTTCGTTACGTTGTGTTTCAGGGTGCCCGTTGATGTGATATAATTGTTAAACTAGTCTGTAACGATCGATCGATAACGCCCGATTGGCGCGATGGCTACGAAAATCAAAATGGAACACGTTCGAAGCTACATCGATCCGCAGATCGGCAATCCTGCGAAAAGTACGGGGAATTTCATCGAATGGAACGTTGATATGAACGTGACCATCTCGAACGTGAAGAAATCAAAGATGTTCCAAAGATCGCGCGGTATTGTCCTTTTTCTCTTGGTGATCGTTTTCGCTGTTATCCTATCTCACCTTAGAAAGGAAGTGCGCGCCCTACAAGTGCAGGTAAGCTCTCACATACTCACATAGTCCAAAGTGCGCGACAAGAATCGGAAAGATCCGATTTGAATAATCGATTACTAGACTTGCAGATTAAAAGTATTCAAAACAAAATGCTTACTCTCTTATTTTTTATGAATACAATTATTATTTTACACGTGTTAGTATTTTCTACTTTCCCTTCCTTTTTCCTGCAATTTCTTCATCCTATAGTATCGTGTTGCTTTCTTTTTTTTTATTAATTCATGACAATTATAATATACTCGTGAGTTGGTTGACATTTATTAACATCGTTAATAAATAAATATTTTCAGATGCAATCCGTGAACGTCAACCTATTGATACTGATGTCCAAGTACGACAGGTTGAACAGAAGCTTCAATCGAGCTTGGAGTCAACGGCCCGACAAGTTCCTCGAGCAGAGGAACATGCACAACGTAAAACGGATCTTGGACGGAGCTTCGACGGCCTCCAAAGTCATTCAAGTATTCGATGAAATTCGCAATGCGTCGAATGGAAATTCCTATACTTACAACTCGGTTGCTCCCTATTTAAATTCTACTAGAAACTCGGAGGACGAATTCTCGTCGAATAACAACATTCGCGGAACGAACAAAGGGAACTATATAACAATTCCAAAAACGTCGACGGAGTTGGAAAACAATGACAATTTCGGCAATAAAGATGAAACTAATTTAAGGATCGAAAGGGCAATATTGACGGTAGAAAAGCAAAATTCGACAAACAGACACAGTGATCTGAATAGTGACGATGTCACGGATAATAGTAATATTAAAGATGATTATGATGACGATGAGTCTGATATATGGAAAGAACCTCGTACTGGAAGGGCAAGAAGAGACGAGGGAAGAGGTAAAAAACGGGGAAAGAACAAAAGGCGGCCCAAACGCAGTCGCAGGCGATTGGGTATCTAGCATTATTTAGTTAGCACGTTTTCCAATTAAAAGAAGATTCAGCAGCACGAAGTATATTCAATCTGAACCTGAATCTTTTTTAATCGTTTATAACCTTCTGCGACTCTGAAGTCATACACTAGAGATGTGTATTTTAAAAAATCTAAAATTTGAGACTCGGAAGATGACTTGAATTAAAACGTCCAAGTACAATTCAAAGAACCAAAAATAATTTTTGCTATAGAAGATTAATGTTCAAATAGAAACCAAAATTCAGGTTAAGTTTGAACTTCTTACATACACAATGGTCTAGCATGAACGAAACATCAGATTATTTTTAACGGGAAATTGATAATAAAATGTTCCATTTCTGGTGAATCCTCTATAACATGCTTGCAGATTTCTGTGCCAAGTCTTAATTATTTGTGCAAGTGATCAACTAATGATATTATCATTGTGATAAAGAAATACAAAAGCTATAAATGCATTTTTCATGTTAATTAGGACCTTTGGTGGCAACGTTTGTCGGAGCGATTCCCGAGCAGCACATCACAGATACAGGTGTGTGGCGTGTGTATGTATATATAAAATATATTATATGCATTAATCGTATTACTTTGAATTAAACGTAATATTAGGGAAAACAATTTTTAAAGAAGTCTCTACTTGATGTACGTTATTTATCTTTTATCTGATCATTCGAAGATAGCAAACTAATGGATCGAAACATAAACAAAATAGAGGCTTGTTTAAAACTGAAAAGAATTGTTCTTGTTTTACACATACAAGCATTTTTACTGATATATCTCTAATATTTCAATTCAGTTTACATTGGTCCATGGGTCAAAAGCGTCAAAAGTAATACTCAGTATAGTCTAAATAAATTCCATTTGGTCGAAGACAAAAAATCCATAGAAGTTACAACAACCGGTTTATACATGATTTCTGCTCAGGTAACGGTCCATTATATCATTTTTGTTCGACTAAATGTAATATATTTATGATGTCTTTGTCGCAGATTTTTTATTTCGGCGAACCAACAAATTATTCCTACTGGATACTATTAAGTTCAGAAGGCAAATCCACGACACAAAAACTCGTAAAATGTTCTACAGCGTCTTCGACGTCGGCCACAGAAGTGTCATGTTATACAAGCGTCATCACGCCCTTACAAAGAGGTGACAGAGTTCATATTCAACAACAGGAGAAAAATAGGTAAGATTTCACTTTGATATTGACTCGCACAATCTAATTCTTGACTGAACCCTTCTAGATTAATCAATATGCGAGAAGGACATAGTTACGTACAACTTGTACTTCTGTCTAATAACACTCGTAGAAAACGTCTGCGGTGAAACAATACGATACAAATGAAAATTAAGGTTGAGTGTAATTTACCGAGGAACGATTAACGCTTATGTTAATTTAATGGCGATTCAAATGTAGTTTAACACTTCGTAACCCAAACTATTTTTGGCTTCTTGTTACAGAAGGTTAAGCTCCATAAAAGTGATACATAAAAAAAATCGTGTACAGTACTTGTTTACGTTACTTTTTGTGCAAATATTGTTTTTCGTTTTAATTTTCAGGAGAATTTGTTGTAAAAGTAATTTCCGAATACAAAGATGCCAGCATTTATCTCTTTCGCGTAAGCAAAGCTTCGATTTTATGTACAATTGTCTTAAGATTTCATAATGGATACAAACTGTACAAAGTATAATGTTAGATTGTAAATAAATTAGATTGGTGCTTATTTTCGTATTATCGTATTCGGGTTTTTATATACAGTCACTGAAATTTGCACTTAACATTATACCTTTGTACATTTAGCATTTAACTTAAGACAAATAACAATTGACGATGTGATGTTACGTTTTAAGAAGAGTCAGTAAGATTAATTAACGCAGCATATTACTGCGTTATTATTTGATACTAAGATTATATACTATTACGGAGATGCCATATTGTTGAAAAATTTTTTTTAAGAAGATTGTGGAAGTATACAGACTTCGAATAGAAAATATATTTTTCAGTTTTTTACATTTTTTTTATATTGTTTACAACATTTATATTCAATGTTAATGTCAAACACAAAATATAAATAAACGAAACAGAAGAAAGTTCACAAAGTACTTTATGAGTTTATACAGCCCGAAAATTATTTCCGAGTGAATTTGTATAAATTGTACCTTTTATTTGTAAAAATATACTTTTTTTTTTTTAATCACAAATCGTATCACAGTCGTTTTCAAATGTCGGTTCAAATGTATATTAGTACCTTAATACAATATTTTCCATCGAAATGTCATTGGAATCCTCTTCGAGAACAACGTTGATGCCAGTCATGTGGCAGATGTTGCTCGGCTCGTTCATTGGTAGTATGACGGCACAGTTGTTATCAACCTAGAGAAATTAATAATAAGAAATTAGAAAATTATAAAAGGCAACAGAAGGAATGAAATCTTACAGATACCTTATACCTATTGCCTAATGCGCTTATATCCAATATTTCAATCATATTATACTCTGTTATTATTTAAAAACATTCTTAGACTTCTTTTCATAGGTATTCGGTACGTTCCTTCCCTGCTCTTCATTTTATCTTTGATTATAAGGTCACAACAGATTGTACTCGGTTTTTATCGAATAATTTTCACTTTTACAAAAATTTCAAATAGAGTATCTCTTTCAATCGCTACCTCATCGTTACTGTTATGACATACAATACTGCAGGTATCGCATGTATAAAGCGGTTCAAAGGTTACCAAAGGAAAGTATATTGTTTATCAAACTTATACCAGATATCGTGTACCTATGAGATAGATTTGACAGAGATGGACAAAACTTTATTAAATTCATGACAAATGAAAGCAGAACATTGTCATTCGTTCGCAACGCTGTATAATACGTAATATTACGAATTTAATTTTATATATAATTTCATTCTATAGCTAAAATTCTACGTTTTATTCAACTCCTAACGGATTAAGTATATACGAATTTTGCCCATCGTTAATATTAGATGATTATCTTCAACGGTAGTAAAACTAAAAATAGTAGATTACAATTATAATACTCGTATCCCTATTGATAGAAATATGTTTTGATCAGTCACTGAAACTGCTTTCTACATTTCTCAATGATTCCACTTTACACTCGATAAATGCAGATCTATTTAGACTTTATCCTTGCTAACATTTTTGTTCTGCAATAAGTTTGATAGGTTCTTTTTTTTTTTATGAAAACGGATAGATTTATATTTACTCACCTGAATTCGGGTTGAGGTTTACTCGAACATTTGTTTTTTAATATATACGAGCGTAATACATGTTAGCATAGGTTTAATTTGTTAATTCTTGCGTGCTTTTCCATGATTACTTAACGTTTGTTCGCTTTTCTTTTTAAACGTGTTTTCTCTGTATATATATATTATATATGTATACATATATGTATGCATACGTACGCACGAGCAGTGACTGAATTTTGTACGCAGTAACTTAGAAGACAACAGATATACTGATTGCTTACTATTTACATCCAAAAGAATTGTGACATGTTTTGAATGGAAAAAAATTGGGTGCACCGTATAAAAAAGATCAAATACTATTTAGTACAGATCAAATACTCGTTAGAAAATTAAATTAAAGGATTCTAATTAATGAAAAAGTACTATGATACTCTAAAGGAAGAAACATTTTCTAGATTTCATTATATATAGTGGTACCTGTGCCATCGGTCAATAATAACTTTATCGTATAGTCGTCATTTATTCGTATAATATTGTATGTTTATCTCCTTGCTGGTAATGGAGGGAAGGTATTCTCTCTCTTTCTTTCATTCTGTTCGCTAAGTATCTCAGGTTGTTGCTACGCCTGTGAAATAAACTTAGTTTTTGTCAAGTTTTTCATATACCTAGAATTTTCCACACGAATAATGTTTCATTCTGGATAGAAAATACTCTTTGATGAAACTATATGTAACAAAACAAGGACGGATAGTTCTTTGTTCTCTATTTTTTTTTTTTTCATTGAAACAGTTACAAAAGAATTCGTTTCTTAATAAATGCTCATACCTACGTTAATCGTACGAATAGATTGCGCTCTTTTAAAAGTTGAAATCATTTTAACGCACATCTGGTTTCCTACGGCAGTTGCTGGTTTTCATTTTTCATCGCTAAGTTTCATTTTAAGTTCGATCCGTTATTTCTCATATATATGTTGAAGGTGAGGAAATAATAAATGTAAAAAGTATTATTGTTTTTTTCTCTTTATGATTATCTTTGTTTCAATGTTTCTTTTTCATTTAAATTGTTACTCTATTACTTACAATATTAAATCGATTCACTATATCACTATGCTGATGACAGACGACAATGAATTTAATACAGTTCAGATAGTTTTATAGTTATTCATATAATAAACGAAACAATAGGGTCTCATTACCTGCCCTACTAAAATGGTGCTGTACTCTAATGTACACAATTGGCTGGGACAAGTTTCTTCAACTACATACACGCGTTGATCTTTGGATAATTACACTATTTCTCAACATGATAAACAAACGTCCATTCTTGTGAATCGTTAGAGCTTTTGTTTTTGATTGTCTCTGCCAGTGTGACATTTCTAGTGATATTGAATTATCGTTTAAACACTTTTTTAAATAAGCTCCTAAGTCATGTTATGAAATCTTCAAAGTACCAACGAAAACACAAAACCTTTCTTTGTCACCCCTAAGCAGAGCGTTTACGCATCCTCTACGCAGAACTGCTTTCCATATTAAAAGATGTACGAAACGAGATGTCATCGCAACAATAAGACTGATTTTATTGCATCGTAAAAATGGTTGTTATATTGTTCGAAAATGTTCTCATGACCGATAATCGCACTGTCGACGCATAAAAGAGCAGTACACTCCGATACAAGTTTGAAATTTCTAGATTTATGTTAAATGTAAACGAAAACACACTACAATAATACAATTACTTTTCCCTTTTACAACAAGGACGTACGACATATTCCTTTTTTTTCGTTTTTATTTCTCTCTTTACACCTAAGAATTCTTTAACGATAATTGAGCTGTGTTCGCAATGATCGACTGTTCAATGACTTTACAAATAGTGTAAATATCTTTTGCCCTTGCTATTACAATGAAGACAATTATACGATTTTAATAGCTAATTATTTCACAATCGCAGATTTGCTCGAAAAGTGTGTCTAATGGGCCGCAAAACAACTCCCGCGAAATACTAACGCCGCCAAGGGTTGACACAATGTAACAGTGTTCTATGCGAACGTGTCGAATGTTACGCGATGCGGATTATAGGAAAAAATGTGCACTTATGTGTACACTTTACAAAAATGCACACCTCACTCCTATGATTTGCATTGCGTAGCAGTAGACAGCGAATGTCTTCTGTTCATCCATGTCGCGCACATTGAGCACTTGTGGTACTTTCAGCCACCTCTTAGCGAGTGTTTCGCGACAGCTTTTTCAGGGTCTATTGTACTGTACACCAAATTAAACTTAATCTAAACGAAGTTTTTAGACAAACATGACAAAGTAGATGCTATACTGCTAGTCAAGTATAAAACGCTCTTGTCATTTATACTTTTTATCGTGATAAAAACGATAAAGTTTTGCGCTAACTCGCGCAAACTTAACGAAGTTTTCTCTCTCTCCCCTTGCGCGCGACAAAAATAGGATTAAATATGATTGAAAATTTCGTTACGGTGCATTCTGTGTAATCCTTTTCCTTTCCTCCTTAATGTTAAAGTCGTTCTTCGTTCAATTATTACTTTACTACTCGTATAGTCGTGACAAATTTGTTATTTGTCCAACTTGTTCTCACGCACTGGGAACGACTCTTTCGAGAATTTGGAAAAGTGTGGTTCTAATATATAAATTTAAATAGTTGAATGTGTAATTTAATAACGTCGCTGAGACTGGGCGTTTTGGTAACCAGCACTGCCACCTGCAAACAACCATAGCTCCTCCGTTCAATCATTTCGTAAGTATAATTTCGTTATTTGATTCTGTATTTAATTCTACGCTTATATACACGCTAACTGGTCGCATCAAAAGTTATGAATATGCACATACGTTATATATTTCCTCTTTTGTTTTGGGCGCATTTTCTAGTTTTCTTTTCTCTATTATCATGCAATTCAAATTTTATGTACTGTACTCAAGGTTGTTTAGGATCTAATTTATGTATATTTTTAAACGAACTAAATCTGTTTGTATAATAAAAATATCTGTGTCTTTAATGATCGCTGTTAACACTTGTCTTTTTAAAAAATTTCTTTTTGTCCGAATCTCATAATCTATCACCGAAAACTAATTTTCTTACGAATACTCTCTGCATTATTTTCTAAAAATATAGTAAAAATAAACCTACGCTAAAACGATAACTGTTGCATTCAGACGTTAAAACGTCTTTCTGCGTTTGTTTCTCGCAAATTGAAAAATCTCGATCGAACTTCGTTCTCGGCTTTTCAATTATTTTGTTTTTCATTAGATCAATAAATACGACCGTTTTTTTTTTCTTAACGGTACACTAGGAACTGGTCCTAAACTTCTCACTTCGCGGTAAGAAACTGCCTCTTTTGGAAGTTAAAAATTCTTATGAAATTACAAATTGTACTTACCATAATCCTGTTTTCCATATACACCATCCTGACTCGAATAATCTGCAATTGTAAACGGACAGACATTATAAATCTTGTACACCGAGAGTGCTTCAAATAAAGGAGATATGACTCAGACGAGAAAGATCTGTAACCCAACAAATTTAGAATTGTCATACGTTTACCTTCGTGAAAGTAATGTTATAATCAATATATTATTGGTATTTTTATCGTTATCAGGTGTAAAAATACTCGTGGCGAAGTGTCAGTCTGCGGTGAAGTATGGCAGGAGGCAGTGCTGCAGTGCTGGTGTCCGGATGAAAATAACTATTAATATCCACGATTTTCTGTGTGTCATTTACCGATCTCTGTGTTCTAATGGGAGCAGTTTGTTAAACGCAACTCATTCGAATCACAAGAAGGCTTAAACCAGCGTTTTCCAAAGTCGGGAGGGGTATTGGTAGATAATTTTATTCATGTGGAAAATACCGCCATACTTTGTATAATAAACAATGGATCACTTAAACATTTATTTCTATTAATATTGGAATATTCCAGCAAATATTGACCATCTAAAAACTATACTTTATTAAGCAGAATTATTCGAATAGATTTCTATCTAATTAAAATATAATCGTTATCGCAGTGTATTTCCTATGACTGTCTGGTATAAGAATTCTCTTTGTTCAGGAGAGAGGAAGCCTTCGAAGAAGTTTGGAAATCACTGGCTTAAACAAAGAAGATAAAAGAAGGACTTTATTTCTATTTGCGCATGCTTCACGCTGAATAAATCCAATTCCCCAATGGCAAAGCGTTTCTCGTCTGAATCGATTCGCATTCGAGCAATTATGGTGTGCAACAATTTGATTAAGCATGAAGACAGGGCATTGAGTCGTTTGCTCCCCTTACATTCTCACTCTAACTTGTGTTTTCTCTTTTCAGAATGAAACCGTGAAGATTAGTAATGTGATGTAAAGTGTGGTGTCGAACGAAAGAACTAACCATAAGGTTGCGTCGAGTAACCACCCCTGTCGGTCATAGAAGTGGAATTAGAAGATCGGTCATCGTAGGGATTAGCGGGGGCATAAACTGCACCCCCACACCCTGCTACTGCTGCCACTGCCTCCTGCTGGTAATTAGCTGTGCACGCAGTATTATTACATTAATTAAATCACGACTTTCAACGAATGAATTCGACCTCCTTTTTTCTTTATTTCATTCGCGAGAACGTTACACGTTTTTTCAACACTTCATGAGATTTTTCATGTAATGTTTGGTTCCATGTTTGTTAAATAAAAACAAGATGTGTCAGAAACAGTCGTTTCAAGTATGTACTCTAAAAAATTATTATCTCTGAAAATTAAATGTTATATCTCCTACTTATGTAGTTGGAAATAATGTGCGCATTTGTTGATTTTATCGATGTTTATTGGCAGCATATAAAAATGATTAAAAGTTAATTTGCATATATCTATCATCCTGCCTAACTTTCTGTATTACTATATTACTGTTTTCTTCAATACTAAATTTCAAACTAATGATTGTATCTCCTCATCTAATTTGTCTAAGTATTATAATAAGCGATTACTAAAAATAAAGTCTTTATTCCTCTTTATTTGATTTACTTCACCTATATTTAATTTAGCAACATTATTTTTGACTGAGAACTCACAATAAAGGTCGAAAAGATTTCACTAAAAAATAGATACATGAAGCGACTCTCCTCTGCATACTTCGTTTATAATATTTATAATTACGACAGCCCCGTTCGAAAACGCTTAAGCTGTGCAAAAGGTTTCTCAGTTAGTATTATTTGTAACTGTACCAACCTGATGGCGGTGCTTTGCCATAACTGTAGGGATCGCCGGCACTGAAAGCTCCTGCAGCTGGAACAGCAGGTGCTCCGCCGTACCTGTTATCAGCGGCAGCGGATGGTGGATATCCCTGAAACGACAACATCATTTATTTATTCGTATTATAGTTAACTATATAGTACCAAAATTAAACTGATACTAATTGATGTTAACCCGCCTGGTACATGAAATAAGTACACGAGTATTTATGGAATATGAAAAAGATAATCTGCATCTTCTACATGGAAGACACGGTTGTTTAAATGTTTAGTAATAATTATATTTTAGTTTCTCTTATGTAAATTTTACGATTCGAAACGTAATGTTATTAGAAATATATAAAGCTTATCCGGAGATTAAAATAGATTCTAATAATCACGATAAGCCATTCTGTGTAATTCATATCACACTTACCGCTGTTTGCCCGTAATCTGGTGGTTGTTGATAGCTTTCGTAGTCCTGATACGACGACTGAGTATAATTGTGTGATCCGTAACCACTGTTGTATCCCATTGCTTGTTGCTGCAGTGCCGGTTGTTGTCCATAGGCATTACTGGCTCCGTATCCTTGACTGCATTAATATATAATAAATTTTGTAAATTTAATGTTACTTTCAACTTTTTAATTGGAAGTTAACGATTATACCTAGTTGCTTGAGTTGCGTAACCATTTGCAGGTTGTGAAGATGGTTGATCGAACCTCGGCCTCTTGGAGGGTCCACTGGAACCTGGTGGACCACCTCCGCGTTTCGATGGACCGCCACGTCCACTCCCCCTGCTTCCACGATCTCCAAATCCTCCCCTACCTCCTGGACCACCTCTGCCCGATCCACCTCTGAAAATTATGAACCAAATCATCGACATTATTAATATAAAATCCTAAATGTGTGTTTATGTGATTTCCCAATAATAGCATAATTGTAATGATAAGGTATACCTGGAACCTCCTCGACTGCCTCTGTCCATTCCTCCTCGTCCACGGAAATTACTACTGCCTCCGCGACTGTCTCCTCTGCCAAAATCTCCCCTTCCCCTTCCGCGAAAACCGCTGCTTCCGCCTCTACTACCACCACGTGGCGGACCTCCCATTCCTGGAGGTCCACTACCACCGGGTCCACTGGACATTCCCCCTTCTGGACCTCTGAAGTATCAAAATAGATTAGTTTAATCAAATTCTACAATAAGACTATCAATAAACTCTAATGAAGTATAAATTGAAAGGTAAATATTAAGAAACATAGATTTTAATCTATATCCATCATAGTGTGAAGAATTGCAAAACAGAAGTTAGTCAATAATAATAAAACTTACCCTGGAGGAAAATGTCCACCTCGACCACCTCTGCCAGGAGGACCTCCTCTACCTCTCATTCCAGGTGGTCCACCTCTCATGCCACCTCCAGGTCCACTGCCACGACCACCACGCATCATACCTCCTCCTCTTGGAGGTCCACCCCTATTTAAATACCATACACATTTATGATACAATTTATTTTCATAGATGTGATAAAAAGTAAAATTTAATTCTTTGCATAAAATGTCTAAACCAAAATTTTTCGAACTATAAACTGTTATAAGTTTTTCTTTTTTGAAAAAGTATATGTAAAGATATGTTAGAAATAATAAACTACAAATCACACTTTTACCAACTTGTACAAAATTTGTTTCACATTTCTTTCTTTCAGGTTATATTATATATTCTAAAGTATTCTATGTAGTAATTGTTATTACAAACTATATACCTTCCTCTATCTCCAAAACCACCACGTCCCCTCATAGGACCTCCAGGACCACCACGTCCACGAAATCCACCTCTGCCAGCTGACGCGCCCTCCATTTATTATGTCTAAAATTTCAAGACAAATTATTTATGATATTAGATTACTGCAGTTCATGATATGCAAGCTGATTGATTATACATCTTTATGGTTTATCTATATCATTTGGATGCCAATCATGTAGAACTTTTCAGTACCTCATTTATAATTTGACACTGCTTGTTGCATATGAGGCAAGCACTTACATAAAGTAAACTCTTAGAAACTATAGCAATTCGAAAGGGTTCACTGTATACTCAAGGTATTGATGAACAAAAAAGCAATGAAAAACAGTACTGTCAAAACAATTTTGCACTGTTAAATCGGGCATACGAGCAATAGTGTGGAACAACCAAGTAAGAAAAATGGAGAAAGAATATATAGATGTCATTTTTTGAGTATTTATCATAAATTTAATATAATTTAAACCATAAAGAAATCAGACACTCTTCGATCGTACTTCATTTCGTTTAATTGTAAAAACGATAAAAGAAACACAACTAAAAGAGACCCGAATTTTTCAATTTTAATTTAATAAAGATCTACACTGCATCGCAGTTCCTAGATCGTCCTATAGACGCTACGTGAAATCACAGAGTTAGTCAGTGCTTTTCTTTCTCGACGCTGTTACCGTGTTAAAACGAGAATCATAAGTAAATAGCGCAGAGAATTCAAATGACGATAATGATTTCTTGCTTTCAAAATGTACTTACGATTTAATCGTTGACAAACAATTCCTTCGTAAATGGGAAACGCGCCAATCTTAGACAAGCCAACAAGGAAAATGGACGCCGGTACCCGGAAAGAGGAGCATCGACCATCGCCACTCAAATTACCACGCCGCCATTACCGGATATCCTCACTATTAAGGAACGTTTTCACAAAACTTCGCAACTGTTCCAATTCCAGTGTCCTTGTGTCTAAAATAATATTTCATTCGATTTCGATAAAAAGATAATTACAAATATATTATATATTATGTCTGTTAATATACGAAATGATATAATTCTTTCCTTATTATTTTGAATTCCTACATTTGTTACTGAGACAACATTACGACGTAGCGCTAAATGAGCATTTACAATGTAGCATAAACTTTTTATACTAAATTAGCACTGGAGCTGCCATGTAGCACTTTAAAATTCAATGTAAATATTTGAGGTTATTACATATACGCACTGTCGAAGTTATGCTTTCTCTCTTTCACATATGGATAAATATATATGTACATAGATCGGCATTTTTCAACCTGTGACCTATTGAGACCACTTTCATAAAGGAAATTTTGAACGGATTTTTTAAATGCTTTTTAGTTTTCTATTGAGTTGTATTAAAAAATCTCTATTACATTTATTTCCCAGATAAAATTTTCTTATTACTTATTTTATCATAATACATTTCTGTCTTTTGAACTTTATGAATTGCGGTTTCCCATCAATTCGTTCGTTGATCCCCATTGATCCCCATGAATTCGCAAACCTCAGTTTGAGAAACACTGATATACAAAATTATTCTCGATTATCACAATGGTGCAATATTACTATAACTATATAGATGAAAAGTTTCGAATAACAAATAAAAGATAAACAACTTTTGTTTCGTTATTTGTTCGATAAAAATTGCAGTCTAAATGAATAGAAACTAATCTAAATAATAAATGGTTATTACATTATACGGATTTTTTATTCGTCATTTGATACTGGAATAAAATTCTGCTTATTTCCATCCAAGAACAATTACTATTCACAATAATTTTTCGAATTACTTTCTCAAGTGTCTAGTACTTTTCACATTTATACCAGTTTATGCGACATAGGAAATAAGTATACGTCTAGTTGGTCACCATAAACAGGTAACTCGCGATTGGCCATGAGGCTGGGATTTAAATATTGAAATCCGTTGCTTGCCTCCTGCGACACGAAAACTGCAGTTTATATTTTGGAAGAACGTTGGCGCCGAACCTACGTCCTTTTGTAAGGCGTATAATTAATGTAAAAGCAATCGCGACTGGAACGCCAAGTTTTCCGTTTTATGTGCCACCGAATTATAAACGGAAAACATATAGTCCAAAATGTCGAAAGACGAGAAAGAGTGCATTATTCCGGATATGATATTCGACGTAAACTCAGGGAAAAGTTATATCAAGGGTCGATTTTTCGGAAAGGTAAGCACATATCTGTCTCAATTTTTCTTATTTTTTTTACTTTCGGTTTTTGCTCATTATAAGAGCCCTTCATGAATAAAAATGTGCTTCTGTTGCTGGTGATCACATGTATATATCACAACTTTCATCACTTGTTGCTTTACCCACTACGAATCGACTAGAAATTCTTTGTATAAAAAGTATCTTGGAATGAATAAATTTCTCATGTTTTTCGTCTTGTGCTAATATTAATTTTATTTAGCATAAAAACAACAAAAATGTTCAAAACAGTGCTATTATTAATCGTTACATATGCATCAAGTTGAACAAAATTCGAATATTTTGTTTGTATGTACATTTATTGAGGCATGTGCTGGAAAAATCGATGATATTTGAATGCTTCTAATGTGTGCACAATAATTCATAATTGCTACAAGCAGCTTTTTGTATTATCTTGTAGGGTGGGTTTGCAAAATGTTACGAGATCAGAGAATCGAAATCACATCGTGTATTTGCGGGAAAGATTGTGCCAAAGTCTCAAATTGTTAAAAGCAATCACAGAGAGAAGATGACACAAGAGATCTCCATTCATCAGACTTTAAAACATAAAAATGTTGTTGGATTTTTTGGTTTCTTTGATGATCCACATAATGTGTATATAATTTTGGAATTATGTCGTAAAAGGGTAAACAGTCTTGAGTTCTATCTATTAAACTCTGTTGAAATAATATATTAAAGTAACCATTGTATTTTCTAGTCAATGATGGAATTGCACAAACGTAGAAAAGCTCTGACAGAATGCGAGACTAGATATTACATGAAACAAATTTTAGATGGTGTACATTACTTGCATCAAAATAAAATAATTCATAGAGATTTGAAATTAGGTAACTTATTTTTAAATGATGAACTGCAAGTTAAGATTGGTGATTTTGGATTGGCCACTAGATTGGAGCACGACGGTGAACGGAAAAAGTAATTGTTCTATTTGTTTCTGTGTGCATTTATATATTGTAATCGAATCATAACTTTTTTTCTTTGTTACTAGGACTGTCTGTGGTACCCCTAATTATATAGCACCAGAAATTTTAACCAAGTCTGGTCATTCCTATGAAGTTGACATATGGAGTATCGGATGCATTATGTATACTTTACTAGTAGGCACCCCTCCATTTGAAACATCTAGTTTAAGGGAAACCTATGCTAGAATTAAACAAGTTCAGTATAACATTCCCGTGCATATTAATACAATTGCTGTTAATATGATAACTAATATGCTGCAAGGAAATCCGTCCAAACGTCCTTCTATAGGGAAGTTAATAAAAGATCCATTCTTTACTTGTGGTAAGTAATATAAGCACAGCACACTAGTTTAACTATGGACAATTTTGTTTTCTGTAATCTTGATTCATTCATTTTCAAATAGTTTTACTTTCCTTAACATTAGACTAGAGAACATCATTAAGACGTTGTCAATGAAAAATCTTGTTAATAATTATTTTAAAATTTACTGTAGGTTACATGCCACAGAGTCTACCGTTATCGTGTTTAACGATGGCACCTCGACTAGACATGTTAGAGATGCACAATCAACGTAAACCACTGACTGAGATGAATACTAACGTTGGTGGAGAGGGGCAGGACTTCGTATTTAGAGTACCTAACAGTCCAGCACGCAAAACGAAGCCTGTAGATGCAGTGAACGAAGTTCAGAAAACGAATCATGATATTAAAAAGATGCTTCAGACGTTAAAAGATCAACTGCTTGGAGTATTAAGGGCTAAACCAAGTAGAGAAATGGCTGTGTCAGAAGGTACACTCACCCAAGGATTGATTATTATTATCTTATTTTGCATGGAATTTATTATTTGTAACGATGGAAATTATTTCCTGATGCAGAATATTCAAGACCCTATCAAATTTTTACGGAAATCTCAGGCATGAATCTCATTCCCCTTTCAGCTCCATAACTATTAGAATACGTATTCAATATTACACTTCAAAATAAAATTAAAGAAGCACTTTAAATTGTCTGGAAAACTTTAAGGAGTTTTAAGGCTTTGTTGTTTTACAAAGGATAATTATACACAACAATGTTGAAAGAAGTATTTATTTTGAAGCCTCTGCCTTTAAACGCTGCAAAGCGATTCTTGTCAAATCGTAGAAACCACTCTCATCTTTAAGATCATACGCGTGATTAGAAAAAAATGTTTTCAAAGTTCTATCAATGAGATATCAAACTTTAGATTCTGATTTGAAACCCAGTCTTCTTTTAACGAGGTTACGATTTTAATTTAGAGAGTTATTGAAATTTAAAACAAACTCTGCATTTTGGTCAACATGTTCCTATTTATACATGTAAAATTGTTTCCTTTTTATACAAATTACCGGGTCGAGATGCAAACTCAAACGTAACTAATTAAAATGAACGATTGAATTTTACAGTTTTTTGTTTGTTATAAAACTACAAAACTTCGAGATTCGTTATTTTTCGATAAATTTAAAATACTCTTTTAATTTTATTACCGAGTGTAGTAGCTTTTTACAAAGAACAATTATATAAATTGGAATTCTTTGCAATAACAGGTCAATTCTTTTTTTATTTAAATTGTGTAGATGAAATGACGGATCCTGCTGCACAGCCTGTTATTTGGATAAGCAAATGGGTTGACTATTCGGATAAATATGGTTTCGGGTATCAACTTTCGGACGATGGAGTTGGTGTAATGTACAACGATGGCACTCGACTGATAATGTTAGCGAACTGTTTCAATATTCATTATATAAATCGTGAAGGGGACGAACTGTATTACACTGTCAGTGAATATCCACCTGAGTTGGAAAAGAAGATGAAACTGATGAATTTCTTCCTTAAATACATGAAGGAGCATTTAATGAAAGCTGGAAGTTCGTTTGCCGTAAAACCGAGCGATGCTATGTCTAGAATACCTTATATGCATCAGTGGTTTAGAACGCAGAATGCTGTTGTTATGCAGTTGACTAATGGAACGGTTCAAGTAAGTAAACGAATGACAAATGTATATCCAGTTCATTTTTCAAGTTCACTTGATAAGGGATGTATTTTCATTGGTGTCACAATTAATTGTTACCCAGTCAACTGTGTTTTTTTTTTTTCAGATAAACTTTTTGGATCATACAAAAATTATCATGTGTCCGCTGATGGCGGCCGTTACATACATAGACGGAGAAAAGAATTTCAAGACGTACAGATTCCAAACCATACAAGAGAATGGATGCTGTAAAGGTTTAGCTAAAAATTTGGCGTACGCTTACGAAAAACTACTAATGATGTTATCAAGTCCGCAAACTCGATAATCATTGCTAAAAATTCGATTAGTTAGGAGAAAAAAAACTCTACTTGTTACAGTATATTTTAGAAGTATTACATTTTTTTTTTAATGAGGGTAATGTCTTTATACTCGGCAAATAACAAATAAACCTAAATAGATCTTTTATTCTTATTTTATTTTGTAGAAACGTATAGAATTTTGCTAGGTGTATTTATTGTAACAAGCCAACAAAACATCTAAGAATCATGCGAGTGGTTTAGTAGAATTATGCGACGATCTTTTAACGTAACGGAAGAGACAGGGCTCTTCCGGCTTTCTTTTATTACAGTAGACGATTAAATTATGGTTATAGTTGTTTGTGTAATGACTCGTACTTTGACATAATTTTACGGATAAACGGACATAAAATTTAAGTACTCTGCTATGATGTACATTACTCCATATAAATATTATTAATGATTTTAAAGAGCAAGAGCTTATATGGCGTTTTTGTCATCAATGCTTTAATGGAGTAGTGCAATTTAATATTTGTCTATTTATCAATATTCGAGAAAAAGATTAGCGATCAGTCATTTTCTGAGTCGTACAAATTCGAAAATATTTTCGGTTTGTTTGCATATTCTTGATTGACTAAAGTTCGGGTCCAGTAATTTGTGTAAAATATGTGTACGCGAATCGTGCATCACTGAAACGTACTAAAATTTAACATTCTCTTGACCGTGCAGGAGGATAAAATAGAGATTGAAATAGAATAAGAACGTCGGAACAAATGACAATATATATAAGACTTAAAAATTTATACATTAAAGGCTAGCAAATAATAATTACCAATAAACAAATGTACATACATATAAACATCCTGTAATACTATACATGGAACATCATATAAACAGTCAATGTATTAAGGTGATTGTAACGATAGTATTATTTTTGTAAGTAGCCCATGCCATTGTTTTGAAGATGAAATAAACTGTTTTTCGTATGTATGTAACTTTATTTTTTATTTATTAGGACAATCAAATCCCAATTGAATATACTTTGTCAAATTTTGATTGTTCTTTTATTAATGCCTTGTGTATACTATAGTTACAGATACCTAAACTTCCAGTATTTAATGTATTGAATCGTATCATGTTTAAAAATATATGACCTGTTATAACTTGATGATATTCAGATTATCCTTATTTATATTATTGTTGAAATGTCTGACCACTGTTATGGGCATTATTTCATTAAATCCAATATGCATATTCAATTCAATCCTACAAAATTGTGTATTTTATAGCATAAATATATTTTAAATTCAATTAATACATTTTTGATATTAAACACTTCCTTTCTTGCATTGATCTGATAAATTAAGCTTTTACTTGCAATATTTTTGAAAAATTTGTATGTGTTGCCGATCGGATTAAATTAGAAATGAAATTGAATAAGGTTAGGTTTTTACGCACGCATATCTATCGTATCTTTTTTGCAACATGCATTACGATTTTGTATACATTCCTATTCCTGTTGTAATAAAAGAGTTCCATAAACAACAAATCGTTAAAGTTATAATGTACAAGAAACATAATGCTTCGAATGTACAACTTTTACAAAATTCTACTGTACATAATGTATGTACATACTGTATGTACATACATATAATACCACTTTACAAAGGTCTCGATGCTAAAATAATAAAAGTATTCCAAATTTACAATTAATCGGGTCACAAAGCGAAACTAAGACACTACTTTTCGAAACGTTAACGTCTAAAACTCCATAGACAGTAGTCAAAAGTATAACGACAAGTAAAAAATAATGTTAAATTTATCAGATACACGATACAATGGTGTACACGCGGGGAAGGAGGGGATTCTGGAAGTCAGAACCACCTCAAACTTTTAATTAAACACTTTATAAGATTTCATTACATAAAAATGTATATAATTTTGTCTACTCATTATTTATTCTACTATTCTGTACTTACTATTCACTAAATATTCACAGAAGTATTTCAGTCTTTCCACAGGAAGTACTAAACGAACTCGTCAAAACAGCAAGCAGAATTCAAACGACGTTGTAAGAGATAAAAATGAATAAAGTATACGAATATAATTAAATTGTTTGTAGATATTTCCAATAATTCTATTATACGAACCACTTCTAGAAGAATGATCAGCGTACGTCGTTGATCCGATGTCAGGGAAATAAAACCATTCTAAGTAATTCTAACTGGGTATCGTTCATATAATGTTTGAACAAAATGGTGTTAGTGCGTCACTAGAGCGAAGAGCCAAGCAAGCAAAATCGAGAAACGAGAGCCGTATTCAGTAGTGGCGCAGGCTTTGCGCCGAACACGCGTGCGTTGCTTGGTTTCTTCGTGAGTGTTTCTCACAAATCTTCTCTACTACGGCATGTAACACATATACGTGACACATTCTTTCGTAGGACATAAATACAAACAATATAGAAACACAAAAAGTAAGTACAGATTGATTAATTATCGAACATTTCGTGTTGGCTGCAGTAGCGTACTGAGAACATACCTCTAGAAAAGGTTGGCAGAAACGAATTTTTTTAAAAATGTACGAACAATTTCACTATACTCGTATACTTTAATCATTTTTTTTATTTTTTACATCATTTGAATTCTGTTTGCTGTTTCGGTAAGTTCGTTTTACTACTTCTTCTACAGAGATTGAAATATAATACTTTCGTGAATATTTATTAGTTATAAATCATTTACTGTTTTGTCGCTAATAGTTTCAGTCGTTTTAGGGTAGTAAAATGCTTACTCACTGTAGTTGTTATTGGTACAGTGTACGTACAGTAGGAAAAGCATTTTTGTCGCATAATGAAAATGCTTCTTTTTTCAATGTATGTAGCGTTTTACCTTAGAAAAAATCGTATGAAACAGTAAAAGTTGGGGCAGAAGAGCCCGGTGCGTACGCCACTGGGTAGCTGTTCGTTACGTGCTCTATGTCGAGGCTGTTGTGCACGCTTCTCTCTACGTCGCGGCACGCTTACCCTCTTAAGCTCAAAATATATCTATTAGATCATTTTCGAGATGCACGTGCATGTATTTCGAACCATCGTACAAAGGACTCTTAACATCTCTTCAGAATGTACTTGAAAACATCGTACGTTCGGGTTTCGCTCTATCAACGATGTAGATTATTGTAGATACAATATCGAAGAATGCAATAACAAAAGTCAAGATCAAGGAAGTAAGCGTGATACCATCGGTTGAGAACCACGTGTTTTCTACTAAATCGTTTAAAGAGCACGCGGTCTAACGTCTTGAAACATGTGACGTTGGTCAGGATCGAGTTGAGAAAGTACCCTGAGCCTAGAAAAATGCCACGGGCCGATTTTATTTAAAATTAAAATGAGAAATAATACGATGGTTTTTTTTTTGTGTACGTTCTGTAACGTCATTTGTAGGATATAATACATTTCGACAATGTCAAAAATGTGACGAGAGCGCTTCTGCGCGATCTGTACATATAAGGTACAGTTAAATGTAAACATGCCAATGAGTCTATCAATCATACGAGAACAGTGCCGCTTGGGAATTGAAATACTTGTGTTCAACTATTGATTATTTTGTTACGTTGTATCGTCTATCTATAATTACTATTTTCAATGTTATTCCTAGGAGTTAATTAATCGTCAGTCGATATTTCAAATAATACTTCGAATCAGAGTTGGGCGTTATCCGAATATGTACATATTCATCTGCATAAGTACCTAAATAAAACTTTAATTCGAATAAAAGACTCCCGAATTCGTTACTAGAATAACCTTTTCTTCAAAGAATGAATACGGACGAGTAAATATTCATTCTTCTTTATTATAAACAGACGCGTCGTAATTTATCTCTGGTTTATTAATTCTTATTCGCGATGTTAATGAAAAATAATCCTATACTGTGATTTCAAATGGTTTGTATAGTATGTATATTTTTTCTGATACTTTTAATTTTTTTTTTATAGTTCTTCGAGTATCGGTTATATTTCTCTATGTAATATGATGCACACACATACACGATTTACATATGTAACGAATAAGTTCGCCTTTTTTGATAATGGTTTATTCGTAAGTGACGACTAACTTTTATTCAAAGTTTTATCCGAATAAAACCGTATTTGCCGCTCCCGAATAAGCTTCATATAGATAAACAGTTATTCGCGAGTGTCATTTGTTATTCGTTCTCTAAATAAATGATGTACCCAACTCTGTTTGTATGTACTCTGCAGAATCGCTCGGTAACAACAATTATTCTCGATGATCAAGTGGAATTCAGAAGGACTGATCTATTACTCTGAACCGTTATTAGTGACGCGTCGTTAACAATTGACCCTTTCTCAGCATCTGGATTCAATAACAATTTCGCGTATGAGTCGTTAGATGGAAACCCATTAGTCGGACGCTGCGTTACACAACCGGAAGACTCGTTTCGCGACTATCGAATAGTGACCACGATTAATAATCAAATAGAGTAGCTCATCATATGGCATATTTTTAGACATCTGGCAGTTGGAGAATCCCAATCGAAAAGGCTCGTTGGAACGCGTGAAAGATAATCACATCGGCGTTATTCGCATCGTGCGTTTCTCTGTTATGGCTTCGCAGCGATCGCTCGACGTTTCAGGTTAACCTCTCGTTGCGTAACACACTCTTCAATTGTCTCGAAAGAGCCTTGGTGTTTCTAGCTGGTATCTAACTTGAGCGATTCTAAATATTTTTATATTTATATCTTCAAATTCTGGTTCTGAACTGTTCCATGCCGCTCGACTTGAAGTTTTAGTCGAAAACCAATCGATAAAGCATGGCTAGATTTGATCGTTCGTTCAAAACCGCAAGTAGGATTGCCAACCGTCTTTTTTTTTTTTTTCTTTTAAAGGATAATCCTTTTCGTGGTACTGTTTGTCCTTGTTTATTCGTGGGTTCGAAAAGGATGCTATATATGTACAGGAACGTGGTGTGTGCTCTATCGTTTAGAAATAATAAAATTGAAGAAGTGATAGGCGGTAGGTGTAATCTAAAAAATAAAAGTAAAACATAAGATAATAAGAATGGCATTAACCTTATTATTTTTCGACTAGTTATTATCTATAGCGATCTATAGTGATATTGTAATGTAGTTGTCACTGTTATTTAAACGATTAAGATGTACAAGAAATAAATAAATCAAAAAATTTCACGTAAATTTAAATCTATATTTCAAGGGTTGTCACATATTTTATTTTGTATTGGACGCTACTTTAGTTCGATTACTTCATGGTACTTGATAGACGAATTTTAAGAAATTTCAAAGAACAGATAAATGTTGCGGCATGACGTCGAGTTACCGAAGATAATTTTTGATCCTCGGACAAATTTCGCACAACTGAGAGCAAAAAGAGATTTTTATTTCACGTCACTGTTTTTATGTGCGCTGACACGATGACACTGCCCGCGAAGTATTTACCACCGCAAGTCGGCAAAAACAGTTTTCATGAATAAAACTTCTTTCTCATAAGGATTCTCTCTGTACGTGTGCATTATTAACTCACATTTCATACGAATTACGTAAGATTATACAAGTTTGATAGCAGTCCACTTCTTAGAAAATGTTCATAGAAATCTATGCTGAATAATCATGACGATTGTAGTTCCACCGACTTGGCAACCTTGTTTGTGTACCATGAACCAACGACAACTCACGTTCCGTGTACAATTCCCGGCAGTGTACACAAAAAGATTTATTCATGGCGATAAGAATTAACGTTCTAGGGCTCCCGTTTTCCCGTTTGTTCGCCCGCGGAGGACATTCCATTGTCCTTTTTTTATTTTATTTTTTTTTATTTTTTTTTCTCTCTTCTTCACGTTGATACCGATGAAGGCAGCTACTCAAGCATTAGTGCTGAATCACGAACGTCACGGAAAAGTGCTGGCACCGTTTCATCTTCGTCATTGACAGTACATGCAACTAAACGTGATAAACTAAAAATAAAGTTACAATCATTTAAGATTGTAACAGGGAAGTTTTACGCGAAATTAACACGAAACGTAACGAGTATGAAATCCAAATTACAATTTTAAATTGGAATAGTCGAATCCGATAAGCGTGCGTGCTTTGTAGATAATTTATTTAAACGTTTCGACCGTCAGATTATCGTAAGTAACGGTAGCTATAAACAAGAATTCGAATAATGCTGCTTTGAAACTGAAGAATGTTTATATTATACGCCCGCAAGAAAAAAAGCTTTTTCTACAAATTTTCATTTCGTATAACAAATGATTGTAGAATGTCAACGTTTATATATATATATATAATAGTACATATATAATAGACATGTTAAAGCATTAATAAAACTTTGTTTGCTTGTTTCTTAATATTTTTTTCATTGATGTAAGCACGTGAAATTTGTCTGTTTTTCATGATTGACATTGTAGCTTGACATTGAATCATCCGGAAACAAAAAATCAACGATATTATTGACATATATTTTCTTTCTTTCCGAATGACGTTATCAGTAGAAAAAAAATGTTGCAATTATTTTCTATTCGACTTATTGCACTTTATTCCAATTATTGGTCATTTTCTTGTCGTTTCTTTGTTTCCATTACCGTTCGTTCAACGGGAGCCTGTAACGAAGTTTCCAATAAACTTGTTATCGCTATTGTTGTGCACAGTATTCTAATAGCGTCGCGAACTTTACGCTTAAGCTCGTATCAACACTCTTTTATAGTCAAGCTCTGTCTTTTATCATTTTGATTGAGCGACAGAGTGTGTGTGTCTGTTTGAACAACCAAAGACGTTTCCTGATGAATTATAAGCGCGAGCGAACGGTTGCGACAAATTATTTAATCAGGCTCGTTAAAATTTCGCACGATGGTTATGCGTTTGCACAGCCATCTTGCGAAATCAACCGGTCGGCGGCGTTCAACCGTTGAATCTATTAATCAACATTCACTCGGCGGACTTTTATCTCAGATTGATTATTCTTCCTTTATTTTTAAATTAAATGTAAACTGACAGTGACAAATTTATCACAATAATTCCTGACCTATCATTCGAGCCTCATTTTAATCGTAGAAAATATTTACAAAAAAAATCCGGCATTATCGTTTATAACTGTGGTTTAAGTAAAAATATTGACTTATCATTTTATCACGTTAAATTACGAACTTTCTAAGTTCTGAATCATATAGCCAACAATATAGGTCTCAACTTGATGGCTATTATATTTTAACTATATATTCGACTATTACGCAAACTTAAAAAAAAAAAAATGAGGAGTTTGAATAAACAGCATGGAAAGCTGAAATTGAAATGGCAAATCATAAATTTTGAAGAATTTTTTAATTGTATTTATAGAAAAATCATTTTACGAGGCTCCTTGTACCTAATGTACCAGTTTTAAATTTCTTCCTTCTTTGCATTCATTTGATTCGTGTTTTAAATTACTTTGCATTAGCATTTGCTTAGATGGCTCTCTTCGTAATTTTCTGACGTCACCATTAGGGATGTCAGTAGTCTGTTGGGCCCTCAATATAGTGTTCCGAGTGATATGCAACGAATAAACAGTTTTTATCTTTTACTTGTTACTCAAAAATTGTATCTAAATAAGAATTTGTTCTATCACCGTCGAAAAGTAAATATTCCATGTCGAACGTATATTTGTACACCTCGATGATCCATGACGACAAAATTCACCGTTGAGTTCTCACGTAAAATTCCACTAACACTTTTTGAAGAATCGCTTCTCTACTACGAGCTGGATTTATTGATTTTCATGGTCTCGATACACTCGTAACTATAGGTTGTACGATTTCTGAGCTTCTACAGTTATTCATGGCGCTCCGCTGTCCTATATGTATTAAAAATCCAAGAAAATACTGGTTTCACGCGGATAGAGACAGCTCTTTTAATAACCCTCCTTATCGAAAGACATTATCAATCGAAGCATTATTCATTTCCATCTCTAGAATTTTGATGACTCAAATCGCAATCTCAACAACTCGATCGTATTGAAATTGATCTCTTCAAGTTGAAGCACATTTCTAACGTGATTGTATTAGGCGTGGAAATCAATTCCGTGCCTTTACGATTAATCGTATGTAATTGAAATTTTAATAAAAATATTTACACGTCATTTTGGTACACGTTATTTTAATCATTTTTCTTTTTTTTTTCTCTTCCGGAATTTTTCTCATAAATAATAAAAGGTGCTCCTATATGTCGTTCAACTAAATACGCTTCATTTTTACCGAGGAAGTGGAAAATAATCTTTGTAGACAATTTTAGATTCTGACCAAAATCTACGGGGTGGTAAAAAATTTTGAATTAACGATGGCCATTAAAATGTATCCTATACACGAAGTTTGGTAGCCAACAAATTTCTCTTATCGTTCTTCTATAAGATTGGGTGTAGACATTTATTTCTTAGCCTCATATCTAATTATTTGTCGCATTTTCATTCGTACAGCAAATTTACAGACCTTTTTCTTAATTACATGTTTATTATATTTGTATTAATTATGTATCAACGATATATTCATTAACGTCGGTATCGGAGAAACGTCTGCAATTTGAAGTGCTATTTCATTTCCCTTCTTCGACATCGACTTATCGAGGTTCGGCTATATATCAAATCTGGAACGTCTGATCGCATTAATATTTAACTTATCGTTGACAAACACGTATAACACAGTGTCAGGAGATGGTACGAGCACAATGTTGTTTGAGGAATGACAACGCAACTAGAAGATAAAGATGTGGAAACGAGATATACTTCGAACGTGATGCGATATTTTTTGTTTTAAATACAGGTGCTGGACTAACGTAAGCTTATTCGCATACTCGACACCAGTAAGAAAAAGCTGAAGAGCCCATCATACAGGAAATCACATTCAGATGGAACTGTCGTCGATGAAGATTCTGTGATACCTATCAAGATTAATGCGTTGTCTATGCGTGTTTAAACGTACTTAAGAGAACACTCACGCGGATAACTTACTTGGATCATCAAATTATCGTGACAGTCGTTCAACGTTTTCTAATTTCACGCAAGACATCGTGAGTGCGCGCAATTTCCTAGAATCGAACGGTTTTACTGTGATCAAAGTGTACTTTTGAGTTCGTACCATTTAAAAGCGAGTTAATGCAGCGCGCCGAGAAAGATGGACTCGAGCAGCGTGAAGTCGAATCCAAATCCTCGAGAAAAGGCGAACTTGCTCTCGATTTTGTTATGGTGGTAAGTTTTCTTGTCTTCTCCTTGCCGATCGAGTGACGTCAGAGTCCTTACTACCATCGGCTATCGTTCGCCTTGCGTTTTACGATTACGTGGCAAATTTTGTTGCAAATATTTCGATTACTTAATAGAAGTATTATACATGTTCAAACATTTGAATTTATTTCCATCGTTGTTACGTGATATTGTGCAATAAATGAAATGCTTCTCATAGATATTTTGCTTTAATTTTATCAAGCGTTTCTCTGCTAGCCGAAAAAAGATATATTAAATTGTAACTCTATCGAGTGTTACCGAAACATTTTGGTTAGCGTAAAGTGGACAGAATTTTGGTAAAAAATAACGTTTAAGGAATCTCGCGAGATAAACTATAGACGTTCGATAAAATTTACCCCTTACCGCATGAATTTTACTTTATTATTATTAATAATAATTTTAATTAATAAATTTTTTTTTATTATTATTAATAATAATAATAAAAAAAAACACAAATTATTTCTTAGTTGTATCAATATTAACTTATAAATAATTTACACTTGAAAATTTGAAAACAGTTTCATTTTGAAAAGATTTTCTCGGTTCAACGCTTAAATGCGAAGGTTTTCCTGAAATTGCAGGAAATGCAAGAAGAATGATTATTTTCTTAACGATGACATTCTAGATGATGCTGCATTTTCTGTAATTATTCGTTTAGTTTTTGCGTGTTCCGGTATTTTGTTACTAATACTCGATATTCCAAGTAGTTTTATTATTTTCGATTGTGGACACGCTACTTGTATGCTGACTCGCATCTGGGTAATTACCAAATAAATGGTCCACTGGACGCTATCCTTGAGCTTAATCGAAATTAATCAATCTCATTTGTACTTGATCAGTACTTGATTAAGGAACTAAACAGGATTCGTGTATTTGGCGAAAAATTGAATACAACAACAAATTACCTAAATTACCCGATCTCCGATAGTCACGAGACAACATTTTAACTTTAAAGAAATTTTCACGAGTTTTAGCTTTGTGATCAACGCGATACACGATCAAGAAAGAATTACCTTTTTTCCAAAAATAAAATAAAATTCATGCAACAGGAAGTTAAATAACCGGTTGTCTGTTATTGTACGTGCTTCATTGTCTGATAACATTGCCGTACAGGTGGACGATAGGCTTGTTCAAGACTGGCTACAAGAAGATTCTGCAGACGGACGATTTGTATGATCCCTTGAAGACCGATCGATCGACCTTGCTCGGGGACAGGCTAGAGAAGTTAGTATCGAAAGTAATTCGAACATCTAGAAAAGAAAATTAACGAGAACTATATGTAATCATTTACACGTTTGTGAATATTTCATTTTCAGACGATGGCTAATCGAAGTAGAGAATTCAAGAAAGTCCAAGCGTCGGGCCAGCCTGTTGAGGGCTATTTTTCGCACCTTTCTCTGGGAGTACACTGTACTCGGACTCATGCAGATATTAAACGAATTCGTATTACGGTATGCTATTTCCTTTTTTTTATTTTAACGACTGTTTATATCGCTCTTTTCATTTTTCTGTTCGTTTTCGTTGTAGATTAGGGACACCGATACTGCTGGGTGGGCTCCTGCGCTACTTCAGAAAGAACACGACTGAAACGTACGAGACTGCGCTCATGTATGCGGGTGGGATATGTCTGGCAACATTGATAAACGTAATTACGTTTAACCAAGCGGTTTTTGGCGCATTCCACGTTGGCGCGAAAATTCGAGTTGCCGCTTGTTCCGTTGTTTATCGTAAGGTAATATATATGCCGAGCATTTTCGAGTCTAGGACTGGGGCAAAAAAGTTGGATGCCGAAGATACCTGAGCAAATCTTTTATTCGTTCAGGACACCCCTTCAATGACCTTGATAGATCAGTTCTGTCTCGAAGGACATTCGTACTAGTTACAAGAAAAAGTGTCATGCATACATGTTTTTTCCACTTTTTTCCCTAAATCTTACGCTTACGGCAAAGTAATGACGTTAACAATGTCGATAGATCAAGACAAGCTAAAAAAACAAAAGCCAAAAAATGCTATTGCTTCAAGCATTAAACAATTTTCGAGTAAACACTCGAAAATTTAGATATTAGTTGTACACAAAATTTATAAACACACACGCACATGCATCTGCGTATATAGATACATGTGTGCTTTTTTTTTTTCTCATCATTAGGTCATTTTTATGTGCTTTGACCGCGTATCAGTGTTTGTAACTCTTTTATTTACTCAACAGGCATTGCGTCTTAGTAAGACAGCTTTAGGCGAGACGGCGCCAGGAAAAGTGGTTAATTTAGTGGCCAATGATGTCAACAGATTCGATCTTGTTTCCATCTTCATTCACCATATGTGGTCCGCACCGTTATCTGCATTGATTATAGCCTACATTCTCTACACCGAGGCGGGATACGCTGGCTTAATCGGCATTGCCGCGGTGTTCGTTGTCGTGCCGATTCAATGTGAGTTTCCGGTAATGATAACCGCACTATAAAAGCTTCGAAAAGTTGAAGGCTGTGCCCTCGTACTAGCTTGAGATACAATTCCGAATTGAGCGAGGATTTCGATAGATTCAAGAAAACATTCGTTTGCATCGATAAAGAGGATTTCCTAGAGCGAGATAAGCTACGAAAAATTAACGACGCGCTTCTTATCGTCGTTGGTGTCGATAGACGCACGTGTAAACAACGCGGATGAGCCGCGGGATAAAGTTAGTCATGCCGACTGAAAATAAAAACACTGGAGTGCAGAGGTTTCAGCTTTACGAGTGTCAACATTGTTGAGATTTTAAGAGCGCTGATATAATCAGGTGGAAGAAGAAACTTTTAAAAGAATTACAGCTACTATAGCTGGGCTTATCAACCTGATAATATCGTGATTTGAACATAATTACTTTGATTATCTTCCTTAGTAGGCTCTTTACTTACTTCTCTAAAATGTTTTATGAAATGCAAATGTCATTACTACGAGAATATAGTTGATATTTTCATATCATTCTTTATATGAAACTTTTATACATGTCACGTGTTTCAGCGTACGCGGGAAAGTTATCTTCCAAGTTCAGGCTGCAAACAGCCATCAAGACCGACGAAAGAGTGCGCCTGATGGATGAAATCATATCAGGTGTGCAGGTAATCAAGATGTATGCCTGGGAGAAACCATTCTGCGTTCTGGTCGAGCTAGCTCGCAAATTGGAGCTGCAAGTGGTCACCAAGAGTTCATACATTAGGGGCATCTACATGACGTTCAACCTGTTCACCACAAGGATGGCACTCTTCTGTACCTTGATCAGCATGTTGTTATTTGGGAACGAGTTATCAGTTGACACCGTTTTCGTCTTCTCCTCTTACTTTAACATATTGGCGCACACTATGTCTGGAATGTTCGTGCGCGGTTTCGCGGAGATAGCCGAATGCATGGTGGCCGTGAGAAGACTCCAACACTTCCTGATGTACGAAGAGTTCCAGAACAAAGGGTTCACCTTGAACAAGTTTGCGGCTAGCCTCAACGGCAGCATCAACAGCGACATCAAACAGGCCTCTTACAAAACTTCCAGGCAAGACTTACCCTACATCGATGACGAGATCGATGGTTACGAGAATCTCGACGAATCGTCGGAGAAGAGGAGACACAATGGGCTAGTTGTTGTCGCTAGCGACTTGCTGAAGAATACCGCGAATCTTATGGAAGGTAAGCGTTCATCATTTGTATGACCTCTATAGACTTTGATAACGCAAGGTTTAAGAATAAACCTATAATTAAATCTTCCTTTTGTTACACCTGACAATGTGTATTCGTTTTAGAAAAGAAGGATTCTCCGGTGACGAATGAGGAACCATACGCGGTCAAGATGGTCAATTTGACGGCCAAATGGGAGCCAGGCCAGTCGGAGAACACTCTCGAAGAAATGAATCTGGCGATTGAGAAAGGAAAGGTCTACGCGGTGATTGGAATGGTAGGGGCGGGGAAGAGTTCTTTCTTGTCCGCGATCCTTGGAGAAATAGAACCGACCGAGGGCCACGTGAAAGTAAATGGAAGTCTGAGCTACGCTGGTCAAGAAGCTTGGGTCTTTGGCTCCACCGTTAGACAAAATATACTTTTTGGACAACAATACGATCGGCAACGGTATCAAAGGGTCGTTAAAGCATGTTCCCTGCTTCGAGATTTCAAGCAGTTTCCACAGGGTGATCAGACAGTTGTCGGAGAAAGGGGTAGTTCTCTGTCAGGAGGACAAAAGGCTAGAATCAATTTGGCCAGGTCCCTTTATAGGCAGGCGGACATTTATCTATTGGATGATCCTCTGAGCGCCGTAAGTTTAAGAGTCAGAATACTTATTCTGTTCTCGTCTGAATCCACTCCAACTTGATAGATACGTTTCAGGTGGACACTCATGTCAGCAAGCACTTGTTCGAGGAATGTATACAACGATACCTAGCTGGAAAGACAAGGATTTTGGTCACTCATCAGTTGCAATACGTGAAAAGCGTCGACTCTATTATACTTATCGAGCAAGGGAAAGCTACAGTATTTTCCAATTACCCAGATTTGTTGAATCAACGACCAGAGTACTGCCATCTCCTGGCATCCGACACCGAAACAAAGGAGGATTCTTCTTTAGAGAAAAGTTCAATAAAGAGACAATTTTCGTCGTCGAGTACCAGGGTAAGACTGTATTCCTGTACCACTTCTACATTTTACGAGCTACTATTTAACCCATAATTTAGTTGTAATACATCTTTTATATTTGCAGAGTCGAACACCAGAAGCTAGTAGCGGAGGAACGGACGACGAAGACGAGGACGAAGACCCCGATAAGCTATACGATGGCTTAGAAGGAACATCCCGTGGAGCAGTGAAGGGACCAATATTTATTAAGTACTTTCTAAGCGGAGCCAACATATGCCTTGTAATCACAGTCTTTCTGCTGTACTTATGCACGCAATTTTGCGCTAGTCTCAATGATTATTTCGTCCCTATCTTGTAAGTACTTTCAAACTCACTGTCCAATCGACTCGAATTCATACGAGTTTAACGTTTATTTTAGAGTAAACGCGGAAGAAGCACGACACTATGTACTTAAGCAAGCGGCCCAAAATATTAGCAACGACACATCAACAGACTTGTCAGAAACTTCGGACATTTCGTCGATGTACAATTATATGTACATTTACACGGGGATAGTGCTTGGAATATTCATTATTGGAATCTCCAGGTCTTTAATGTTTTACAAAGTGTGCATGTTGTGCAATCAAAAGTTGCACGACATGGCCTTCAATGCACTCATCAGAACGGGCATGAGGTTTTTCGACACCAACCCCAGCGGTAGAATCCTCAACCGATTTTCCAAAGATATGGGAGCGATCGATGAGTTGTTGCCGAAAGCTATACTGGACGCTACTCAGATATGTCTACTGATGGTTGGATCCTTAGTGGTGTCCTGCGTCGTCAATTATCTGTTCCTAATTCCCATAGTGTTTCTGAGTACCGTGTTCTATTGGATACGAAAAGTCTTCCTTAAAACCAGCAAGAACATCAAACGAATGGAAGGAATGAGTAAGCAGCATTAACGTTAGTAGTATCACCCAGAGATGGATAAAATGTTATAAGAAAAACATAATTGTAGATCTTAAAATAAATATTAGATTAGATAGATAAGATATTTGTCCATCTCTGGCACCACTTAAGAAAGACGTGCTTTTTGGTAACAAGGAACTTCTTTTCGCACAGCTCGATCTCCTGTGTTCACTCATTTAAATGCCACGTTGAATGGACTGACCACCATCAGAGCTTATTGCGCACAGGATATACTGAAGAAGGAATTCGACAAATTGCAAGACGTCCACACCTCCACTGTTTATATGTACGTGGTAACGAGCACTGCCTTTGGATTTTCGCTGGACATCTTTTGCTTCGTGTTCACATCATTAGTCACCTTCAGTTTTCTTCTACTGCAGCAATGTAAAGAATCTTGTCGACATTTCTTTTTTAATACGCCAATTATTCACATAGGCCTTGCAATTAACTTGATTTCTTTTGTAGCATTCTCTGGAGGTGAGGTGGGTTTGGCTATCACTCAGGTAATGGCCATGACCGGTATGATTCAATGGGGTATGCGACAAAATGCCGAAGTGGCCAATCAAATGATGTCTGTGGAACGTGTGTTGGAATACACGCAAATAGAGCCAGAACCGAATCTACGCGACAGAGGAAAGTTTGCGAAGAATACTGATAAGCAAGCCATCGCGCTTCCAGCAAACGCGCCGAAGAATTGGCCCACAGAGGGACTCATCGTATTCAAGAACGTTTACTTGCGATATGCGGAGGACGAGCCTCCAGTTTTGAAGAACTTAAATCTTGTCATTCGCTCGGGTGAAAAAGTTAGTCTCTTTTCCTGTGAATTTCATGCAATTATAGTTCCTATTTCAGATATACAATTGTATACGAGTTAGTATAGCAAAAGTCCTACATGTCTGTAAAATGTTACAGGTCGGTATCGTGGGTAGAACAGGCGCTGGAAAATCATCCTTAATATCTGCCTTATTCAGATTAGCGAAGGTTGAAGGATCTATCGAGATCGATGGCATAGACACTGGGTCCATTTGTTTAGAAGATTTGCGGCGTCATATATCAATCATTCCACAGGATCCTGTTTTATTCTCTGGTACATTGAGACGCAACTTAGACCCTTTCAATGAATTCTCTGATAAAACTTTATGGGAAGCTCTCGAAGAGGTTGGTTAAGTGGAAAAGTCAATTTTTATTTTCCCTTGTTAAGATTACTTTACGATTCAACTATATATTGTTAAATACACAGGTTGAGTTGAAAGATGCCATCACAACCGGTACAGGATTAGAAAGTCGAGTTTTGGATAGAGGCAGTAACTACAGCGTTGGCCAAAGACAGTTAGTCTGCTTGGCAAGAGCCATCCTGAGAAATAATCGTATACTTATGCTCGATGAGGCAACTGCAAACGTGGATCCACAGACTGATGCTTTGATTCAACACACGATAAGAAAGAAATTTGCCAAATGCACTGTACTTACTGTTGCCCATCGTTTGAACACTATCATGGACAGCGATAAAGTTTTAGTCATGGATAAGGGTCGCATGGCGGTGAGTTACATTTCTCACTTAATTAGAATATTGTTCTTACATTATTCTCAACGCACCTGGACAAATTTCAAACAGCATTGCTTGAAATACCATTTCAATTAAAATTTGTCAAAGTCTGATTGATAGTTCAAGGTAAAATAATACAACGATTATATATATTTTTATTTTCTGTTGCAGGAGTACGATCACCCACATATACTCCTCCAGAACAGTTATAGTCAATTTACCTCATTGGTAATGCAAACTGACCGTGGTATGTACGATCAGTTACTTAGGATAGCAAAACAATGTTACATTGCCAAATACGGAGAACGATGATTACCACGCCAAATATTTTTTTTCCTGGTACTTATTTTACCAGATACTTCTATTTCTACTTGACTACCGGTACGTAACATGTGGTGCAAGCGTTTATACAGATTTCAGTTGTATTAAAGTATTGTCATAGGTCTCGAGCGCGCTCAATATTCGAAGAATTATATTTTTTTAATCTTCATACGGGCGAATCGTTAGAACGATTATTCCAGTACTTCCTGTAAATATTAATGGCGCCGTTGAGCGGCACCCATACTTCCAACGAATACATATAATATATTTTTCTACACCCGTCATTGCGAGATTTACAAATTTTTGAAATCATGGATACGCGTTTTGATGAATTTCAGCGATTTGAACGATGTATGCCAGTAACATGCCAAATGAAAGTAGTAGATTTTTATAAGATATTGTATGAGAAGTTCCAATTTCAATATGTAGGCATAAATAAATATTGTGATCCGAAAAATCATGATCTGCAGGACGTAAAAATATTCGTCACGAATTTTATGAATGAATCAGTTGCAACAAAATGGTCCTTCATATTTCATAGAATTGTACGAAAGAGTGAAAATGCGACCGTAACGGTATTGTATGCAGAAATAGATTTACATTATACAGGGTGGTTCCAGATCACCTTGAAATAGTTACTAAATGGTAGGTGGTACAAGAAGACTGTCTTCAGTATTTTGCTTTTTCTTTTTTTTTTTTGTGGAATATGATAATATGAAACAAAAATGTTTGAAAAGCAAAAATCATTGAAACAGACAAGACCAAAGTGTCTCTAACAACATACGTATTATAAAGTATTTATAGAATGTGCTTGACATAATACGGTATTTATAGAATGGATTCGAAATTTACGCCTTTACCGTTTAAGCGCAGATACGGAATGATTGTTTGATTGTGCAAATTAACATTTAACTATCTCATACTTTCTACCATTTCTTATAACTATTTGGCGCTATAGTTGTTCAGAGCCACTCTGTATATTATAAACACATTATATGAAATGTATCGTAATTACTTAATGGTACTCTATATTTAATGATATAGATTGAAAGTCAATTAATTGTCTGTGTACCCCAAGGTGCGATCAGTTGTGTATCAAAGAACCGTCGGTAAAACAGCGAGCTAGTGTTCATTTTAAATTCAACGTCTTCAGAGATTATACTATTATATTTTTTATTGTATATGTGTATGTATAATATCAAGTTGTAAATAAAAATCTTTTTTATTGTTTTCTCGTCAACTACGAAAAATCAGAACAAAATACGATGCATATTTTCTTTTCTATGAAAACGATAGTACTTTGTCAGTACTCACCAATGTTGATCTTTGCCAGACAAATTCCGTTTTACATTCATGATTATACTGCACGTTTTATCTGCACAATGTTTTCAGTATTGTACGTTATTAAAAAATTTTTGAATAAATATTTATCCATTTACGTAACGAAGAAGTATTCGCCAGTCTTTGTTACTCGAATAGGAATAATGTTTTAATCGTAAGTCAAAAATGAAATTTTATATCGATAAAATATTTATTCACAACTCACGAATAACAGTTTGTTAGGCAAATGGCTATTCGTTATATAGCTAAATAAACGTACCCTTAACTTTGTATGTCATTAGCACTGAACGTGAACACACATTAACGTCGCAATTGTTTTAATGTTACCTGTATAAAACGTCTGGACGACTAGCTTTACTTATTGTTAGGCAAACTCAAACCACCCATTCAATCGACTTTCACGATCGAACTAAACGTCAAAACGTCACAGTGAACAAGTCCGAGCGCGCTTAGAGAGATCCAACGTGATTGGTTGCAGCTGCGCTAGCGCAACACGTCTCAGAATGTTTTAATGCGCAATTCAATTCTCGTACTTCCGACAGGTAGCCACTTTTACATATGGGAGATTATTTTAAAAAGTATTATACTTTACAAAAAATATAAATAACAATAAACTAAATTTTTTGATATCGTGTATTCTTTCTGAATAATTGTTTTATTAATAGAACATTAAACTTTAAATAACTGAAAGTAATGCCTTTATATTTAAAATGAGATATCAAAACTAGAAACATTAAATCATAGCTGGCCGAGAACAAAATGAATGACATTTGTATCACTTATAGAATTAGACATCAGTTTAGAATGTAATACACTTTTAAAAAACTGATACAGCGAGTCGCGAAAAATTACCTACTACACGAAAGGTTGAGAATCATCGAGTCTGAACTAAAATTAAGTAAAAAAATTGGTTAACATATGTACTCTGAAAATGTCTACATCAAAAATACATTTAAAGGAAGATCTAACATGATACTATCAGTATCGATATATTTATTCTACTGAATTTTAAATTATGAGTAAATTAAAAATATGCCACGCACCATACGTAAATTTATCAGTCATATTGAATTACAATTTTTTGAACAGGTTATTGCACGTTTTATATTAATAAACTTTAAACATTATTAAATGACTGACTTAATAGAAGAAAAAGCTATCCATTTGTTGAAAAAACTAAAACCTATTATTGATTGAATACATAGATATATATGTATTATACATCCAGAACATATCCACACTCTTCTTGTTAATTCATTATTATAAATTATTATAATCATCGATGTCAATATGACCCTCTATTGAGTATTGAAAGTGAACAAAATAAATAATATTCACTGGACAAGAGTATAGACAAACACGTAAAAAAATATTTATGAGCTAAATTACAAAAATTTTAGTCGATAAAAACAATTTAAGCGGTACAATAAGTCATATAAATTATTTAGATTGTATAAAAATAGAAATGACACTTCTTAATGTTGACAAGTAAATAACTACATAATAGAAACAACTGAACAGGATTTCATTAATCTTGAATATATCATACATGCTTATGAATTGGTTTGAATTCTGGAGTATCCCTCTATTTTTTTTTCATTTCATTTGATGATATTTCAAGACGTCCCATAAGATGCAGTATATTTAAAAAATAAAATAACTTTACTCTTGGTTGCCAATAGAGGAAATATTTCAATTTGCTATATATATACACGTTAAATTTTACTTATTAACGGCATAAGTTTACAATGTTTAATTTTTCTTTAAGAAACTCATGTCTCTGGGATATATTTTAATTTGTGAAATATCTTACACGTAAAATATGTTATTAAGTTACAAAAAGTTTTTGAAGTAATATTTCAGTTGTTCCTATTACATGTACTTCTTAATACAATAATTTTGTAATATATTTCGACAATTTCAAACTGACCGTTGTATCTCATTGTTAACAGAAGTAACTATATCATCGGTTTCTACAGTTATCTCTTTATCTTGTGCATGTAAATCACTGTTATTTGGTTCTTTCGAAAAATGGCCATGCGTATTTTGTATCACAGTCTTAGAATCTGAGGTAAGAACATTAGATGATTCATGAAGATGAGTCAAACTTTTATTCTTCTCCAAAACATCTTGTCGAAGATTGAACATAATGGTATTACCAGACTGAAAAACATAAAGCTCAAGCTTTTACAACCATAATAATTACATAATATTCAATTATTTTACTACCAAAAGCTAATACAAACGAAAATACTCGTTATTATATAATCGGGTATTAAGTACTTACAATAAAAATGTATTTTTGTTTGTTTTTGTGATTTATATATGAGTAACGGTCGTTACCTTTGTATCGGATGTTATAAGTTCTGCATGAGATGAGTTTGTTGTTGATAACATAGTTACAGTTTGATCTGTATTGTTTAGAGAAACATGACGCGGTAAAACACTAATAGAAGTGTTATGTTGACTCGTAACGCGTACATTTTTTCCACCCACAATTACTTTTTCCAACACTTCCTAAAATTTATAAAAACACTTCTATTTTGTATCCGACACAAAAAATATAAAAGTGATTACCAATGTAATTACCTTTCCTGCGTGAGAAAGAGTTACACCTTTAGTTTGACCCTTTTGTATAACAATCACGTTCGTTTTAGATGCTAACTTCGTATTGGGATGATGAGATATATTTACAGTTTTATTAGAATTTAACGTAACACCCTGAAACGCCATAAAAAAGACATTTTTTAAAAATCGAATCCCAATATCGTTGTAGTTTGCGTTAACATTCTTTTATTGAGAACTTTACCATATTGGTAGTGGTTTGATTATTAAACCTTGTAGGCAGTTTTTTACAAGTTAACGTTGACGTTTGCTTAGTTTGAGGTGGTCCTGGTCCATTTGATACAGTTTTATCAGGACATGCAGTTATTAGTCGTTGTGGATTACCTAAAAATAATTAAAAAATAAATTAGTTTAGAGTAGATTCTGTATTAATTAGTCATCCAGAAGCAATAACATTTACTTGATGTAATGGTTCTAGTTACTGGGGATTTTACATTAGAATGGATCACGGGTACAACACGTTTTGTGCTGCTAACAGTTAGATTTGAATTCTCAGTATTTACTGTCTTCTCTAAATTATGAGATGATACGTTCGAGTCTGGAATAATAAAGGCAATTAAGTAAATTATTGAACGTATTATTGTAAAAATGTACCGTGTTTAAAAAAACATATATTCATACTTAAAATATCTTCTGTCGATGTATCTTGTGTATCAGGCTGCAGGTCGTTATTTGGTACACATGATGTATTATTGGACATTAAAATTGCTGGCCCAATTTTTGTACTAGGTTTATTTTGGATAGCAATTACTTTTCCTTTACTTTTCGTAATACCTGTGCCCACTGGGATCACGGCATTCGCATTACCAGGCGGAACTACCGGATGATTATTGGAATTTTCATGTATCACGGACTGTTTTGAATCTGAATACAATTTAAAAAAATTGCATTATTTTGCAAAATACATGTTACAAATATATTAAAATTAAAGATGCAATAACCTGTAATGGTTTCTCCGCAATTAATATTAAGTGGTATTATTGTAACATTTTGGTGTTGCAGTGAATTTATTGGCATTTGCGATAACTGCGTATCTTCGGAAGATCCTTTATGGACGATATTATGATTTATTGTTCCTATCGAGTTCGAAGACACTACCAAAACCTGCATAATATATCATTATTTATTTATTTGCTGAGAAAAAATATAATCAAACGATTTTCATTACCTTGCTTGGAATTGCTGCTGGGAGTGGAGAAGTACATTTTCGTTTTTCAGGCATGGTACATTTTTCGTTGACATCAGAATTGTTCTTTAGCTTATGTATATCCTTGCTTTTATCCAATTCAGTGGCCTATAATGTATTGCAAAAAATAAAGTAACTGAAACATAAAACGATGTCCTTACCATACAAGATAAGTATGTAACCGATACCTCGTTCGAAACGTTCTCATCGCTAAACTTATCTTCATTAGGTGTAGATTCATTATTGTTAAGTAATTTTTCTTGTACTTTTTGCTTCACAGGAGATTCACTTCTTACAGCTATTAAAACAAATTCACGAGTAATATATTTTTATTCTATGGATAGTATACAAAAGAATACTAAGTCATGAAATCTCCTTAACTTACAGTTCTACAGCTGTACACTATTTTAATAGACTAAAACCACACATTTACCAAAATAGATAATAGTTTTCCTTAAAACCTTTTGCATCCTCTGTTTTTTCAGGAACTAGAAGATTCCTTCTATTTGCCACTGCAGTTGCAAGGGATAAGCTATTTGCTAGCGTTGTGAAAGCAGATCGTGCCTTCAATTTTGGCAAAAGTGGAATTACACGACGACCTTCGATAGTCCAATCTGTACCAGTGTTTGGACCATTTAATCTATATCATAATAAATGATTAATTTTCAAATGCAATACCATTTTATTTCAGATTTTATAAATTATAATATATTTTGTAGAGTACTTACTGTTCTGCTATCGTTGCTAGTTTCTCATCATTCACGGCTCTCCGCACTTCTGCACGATGTCTTTCATTGGAAATATGTAGAACTTTAGCGAGTTCTTGTAATAATTTTTGTTTTTCACTAGTGAAAGGGCCCTGAGCACGCAAGACGGATACCATACTCCCATAAGCATCTAACTCTATTAAACAAAGCACATATTGGCTATATAAATAACACATTATCTAAATAACTGAAATTAATTTAAGAAATTTTAATAAAATTAATATAAATATATCTATTTTTTAATTAAATCACTCAATGTAATTACATTAGTTAAAATGAACTAAATATTTAACTAACACTTTTCTTTCTATGTTGTGCAACTACATTTATGATTTCTCTAAAAATATTTGTTATGGGATATATCTACATTTTACCATAATTAAGTTTCTTATTTAGAACAATATTGTCACGCATATAACAATATATGAACTTATTCACAATTTTAATGAAGGATTTTCATTCTATTTGAGTATGTTTTATTCATTATCCATACATTTAACAATTACCACAAGTCTGGTAAAACCCAAATGGCTTTTAAATTACAGCAGTTAAAACAATGCTATACAATACATTCCTACAAAAAGTAAATATTAAAAATAAAAAAACCAGTTTGTGTATTTTAGTTATATTTAATAACAAATGAATACATATTTATACATCGGTAAATATTAATACATCCATAAATTTGTAATGATTATCAAGTATAGCTCTTCAGGTTTCCATTATCTATTTTTCAATGACGCAAATAGCGTGCATTAGGATATTAATACCTATTATAAAACTGCGTTACATTTTTCGACATGTACGATTCTTTCGAGACTGTAAGAAACTAAACGTTACTGAACTAAGAAAATAATTATACGAAACTTAACCTTACCTAAACATCGCAAATATTTTCTGCATTCATCACGGGTCATTGTTTCATGTCTCAGCGACCACATGGTTCCATGCTTCGATCGTTATAATAAATATGATCTAATTTTACCAATGTTCGTACACTTTTTCCACATTTTCGACGTTTCGTTGACAGTATGGTGAGTTGATGATGAAGTTGTCGTACAATTACTCTTATTGTAATCGGTATTCGTTATAAACGTTGGTACTCCTACCAGTAAAGTTCACTGATATTTTCATGTATTGGCTAATCTGGCACCTCTCGGAAAGAAAACTGCAGTACCCACTGAACTGTATTAATTAGAATAGTTCAGTGTCGGTACCTTATCTGTCTTTGTCTACCAACGCATGCGAACAAGTCCATGATTCCGCGCGCCTATTGAATATCCTCTTTCTATTCAATTTACTCAGCTTTCAATTATTCTCCTGTAATATTTTATTGTTACTACTGTTATACAATATATAAATTGTATAAATGCTTAATATAACTATAGAGACATTATTATAGATAGACCAGGGGAAACATAGTCCTGCCTGTAAGTTACTAAAAATAGAAGAAAAAAAACACGGTATCTTATTTACCTCTGTGTTTCTGTTAACGTGAACGTAAAATACATACGTAATTATTAAAAGTATAAACGATAACCATTTATACCAGCTATATACGTTTTATAAATTCTTATTATATGCTGTGATATATCAGCCAATAAAAGAAGACAGAATGATAAAATACAATATCTCAATGGATTTAATGAATAAAAAACAAAAAATAAAAAATCCAAAAAACTCCTCATCCAGACACTTGCGTTATCCAGACTTTGCGTTATATTAATATTAATGAATATAAGTTAGCTGTAAGATGAATGCCGTCCAAAAGATGTAAAAGTAAAATACTTATACTTTGGTTTGGTTTAAGGTAAAATAAGGGATTGTGGATTAAGAGAAGTGTACGGAAAGGTCGTACGTTTATTAATTTAGCAACACTTAGTAGTGTAATAAGGCATCTGGTAAATAAATACGCATACGCATACGCAATGGATTTAATTCCACACCAAACACAGCGATTGCTTCAGCGACTTTAAACGTTTTACGCCCTGTTAAATAAACATATACGCGATATCCTGATAAATTCTTTATTATTTCCTACGTCGATTCCTTTCGTTATCTTCGATGTGAACGACGACTCTATACTCAGAAATTCCCGTGGGTGACGTATAAAGTCGTCCGTAGGCTTTTCCTCGTCTCAGTCGACGAACGCCAACGTCCTAGGATCTATTTATTCGCTCGAGTTCGGTATGCATCGTTTGAAATTAATTGGGAAAAGAAGTGAAGTTTGAGCGGGCTGAGAAATTCAAGCGACGCGAGTTCTAAATAATTAGCAATTGAACGAATACAAAACACGGGCAAAAGTGGTGAACAAAAATGCGCTTAATCGCGACGATAGTTGTCGCGGTGCTCCTTGTTACTTATTTCGTTGATTCCAGTGTCACGCCAGATGAAGGTAAGGTAAAGTGATCGAATTAGAGCGTGCGGTCAATTTAATAAACTTAAATAGACTTTTCTGTCTTTGATTATCACCTTAATTAGTTAATAACCCGAATCGTTGCATTATACAGCGAATATTGGGGAAACAAGGAATTTGAATACTTTGAAATAACAGTTACAAATTTCCACTTAAATTGATTATTTAATACATCGGGAAAAGACTTACCATGATGAAATTTTGATACTTTCATCATAAAACTCTCGAGCATCTACACAAATCTGTTGTAATCTATATTGTTCTCTAATTACAATCTAAAATATCGTTAGACGTAGTTATCAAGATCATCAATTTGAAATTTTCTCTCCTTGGATTTATAAGATCCAAGACTTCTACTCTCGTGTTTTTTTATATTTTCCTACGAAGTGTTTTGAAATCTTAAAGCAAATTTATAAACCGTCTGCACTCGGAATTTTCAAATAGTTTTCAATTACAAATTTTCCAATTATTTGAATTAAACATTGAGAAACATGCCGAGGAAATTCTTACTTCTCAAATAAAACTAGCTCAGTAAATGCATTAATTGCATTTTAATAAGGAACGTTAATTGCATTTTAATAAAAAAAAAAAAAACATCTGTTATATTCAGACGAAACGTAGAGGTCGCGAAATGAAATTCGTTTGTTCACGATGTAATAGGTACGCCGTGAATTTACAAAAAAGAGTAACGCGAGACGTTCTGGATTTCAATTTTGAACACGGATCAATGTTAATTATGAAATCTAACAGACAACCGTTAAAAGTAAATGAAAAGCGTACGGCGTTACTGCACCTGCGACGCGTTCCCATAACATGTTTACGGTATTGCAAACCAGTCCCCATGCAACCCGACAAGAAACCCGGTAACGACGTGCTCCGAACGATAAATCGTTTCTCCAAGACATTTAACTCGAACTGACTGTTTTCGTGTTTACCAAATCCGAGGAAAGATTTCTAAATTCAACGTTACGAACAATTGCTCAAACTTCCAGTTACCCTTGCTCTTAGAAATTTATTTAACGCTCAAACTACCAAGCTGGTCAATTTAACCCTTGTATTTCAAAGTTTTCAAGTCACACTGTTAATAACAATCCTTTTACCGCAATTTTTACGAACAACTATTGTAACAACACGATTCATTTGATTTATAAATCAGTTTACTCCTTATTCCTCCAATAACAAAAATATATTATAGTGTTAATATCGCTTTAAAACAACGTTTATCGACAAACGCGTAATGTATCCCGTTGGACATGAATCTGAGAAAAATAGAGGAAAATATAAATATATGAAACTATTCATAAATTATACAGTATCGGAGAAAATGATAGGACATGCGCGCGTAGATTTAATTTTTCGACAATAACGTAAAATTTTACGAATTTTTTCATTATCGTAAATAGCGCATAAATTGTATGAAATCCGGCCTTTGTTCCATGGAAATTCCAGAAATAGATTTAGTAAAATAAGAAAAATTCGAAAGACTTAATTACTGACGAATACCGATTTTTAAAGTTATTTACCCGGAATTTCTCAAAACGAAAACGAAAGTGTTAAACTATATTCTAAAACTATAATTGTACACACTTTATTTGCCTTTTCTATACGTGTTTCACAGATCTAACGACAAGCCTTCAAGAAGCATGGAGCAACGACGACTTTGCGATTACGTTCTCGAACATCAAGTCAAAGAACAAAGCGTCAGAAGCAATGGTCGAAACACTTTTGGCTGTGAAATTCGGCAAATACAGAACGAAAATGATGCTAATACTCGACAGACGAACGAAACGAGGTAGGAAACACGTTCATGCGAAACGAACGATCCTTGTGCCAAGTGTAAAAAATTTACTTACGCGCCTTTCTAAAATAAACATACTTTTCATTTATAAAGAAAAACGATGTAACCGCCACTACCATCGATAACTTTGTTCCATCTTCCAGGCGATTTATCGAATTGCCTGATGAAAAACAAAAAAAAAAAAGAAATGGCAGATTCGATAGAATGAGTTCTTCAAATATTCTCAGTGTATTTTTAAGCATGCGAAAACTTATCTTTAGTAAAAAACAAATTTGGCCGCAAATGCGTTTAAAATTAGGTGTAGGTGTTCATTTATTGTTGGAAAAATCGTTGAAAAAATAATTTCGATTATTTTAAGCAATTTTATGATAGGCATAATTTCTTTCAGTAATCCTCGAGAGCGTCCATGACGATAGACATCGAACTACCGAACACATTAACGTGGACACTTTAAGTACCGATACACCGTTGAAGAACGTGATCGTGATAGTGCATCAGAGTCGACCAAATGCTCGAATGGATGTTTACATCGACTGTGTTTATCAAGGAGCGTTGTCGCTGAAGAAAAGTTTCCAGGAGTTGGCGGATAATGAAAATAGTCCTCTTGTGGAAGCAGTGAGTGTTTTACCTATCTTTCATTCAAACAAATTTAAAGAATCCCTTTTTTCCTGTCTAAAATCAATTCTAACACACATCTGTTACGCACTAAAAGATCGACTCTCCTACAGCATTCAACTGTAGCAAAAACCAGGTTGATATCTTCATAAGTTCTTGAGAAAACAACTTGCGACAGTGTATGCGGGACACTCTGTATACGATCTGTCGAATAGGTCTGCGTACGTGCATATATCGTAGCATTAGAACCCACCGAGTCCGCGCCAGTTTCAACAGTGAATACGGTTGTGGGCGTATCGTGCGTCTGAACTTAACCGAGACGTAACGAGAATCATACGTGGATGTTGTAACTCAACACATTGGCGTCGAGATGTCCGGAGTCGCGAGTCATTTTGTTTCAATTGCGTTTCGTTGGAAAATACTGCTACAACTTCTTCGACAAGTAGCATTTTTCAACGTAATTATGAATATAGTCGTAAATCACTTTGTCACTTCGTGATTCACGCTTCTCCCGACTCTTTTATTTTAAAAATAATAATTACAACAACCCGTAGGTCTAGATACGATTCAAATTCACGAATTAAAAAATGTATAATAAACAACACGTGCATAAAAGCCAGGCACAGAATTATACAGAAACGCACGGGACGAAATCGAAATAGAAATTGTTGTCCCGCTTCGAATAATTATTCTCTGCGTCTACGAACCAGAGAACGAACGAACACGATCGTGGCGAACATTATTTCCTCCTTGGCCTCTGACGGAGTTTCACGGTGATACAGACCATTAACGACGTTGGAGACCGTAGGATGATGTCTTTCCAAATATGGCTGGCCAGGCCGAGGTTGCTTGTCTTTATTACATACAGCTGCTAACTCACGTAACGTATTTAAGAATCGAATTGATTTCGATTAGCTTAGAATTCAATCTTACTGAATATGCGCAACCCACTTTCTTGTATACGCGATCGAGATGCATAAATATTAAGAAACTTGGCCGAGTTGCAACGATATACGACGGCGGCAAATCTGACCGCAAGCCTCGGATGATTATTTATTTAATCATTAACCCGTTTGCATCACACTGGGAAAGTGAACAAATCGTTCTTATCGCTAACATTTTTCTTAATTGTACCCGAATGAAAATGTTTGAAAACACGTGACGAATAACAACAATATAGTTCATATTTAACGCTATGCTGTGATCTGCTCATTTCTCCAGCTGGTACGTCTTTAGTTTAGGGAAAGAAGAAGCTTAGTAAAGGTATATCCATCGACGTCCGTCATCGATGTGCCGACACAAGAAAACTGTTCCAATGATTTGGCCTATACGGACACGTCATCAGATCTCCCGACGAACAAAGAGTCTCACGAATCTAATTTAAGATCCAACGACGATCGGAATCAACACGCTAAAGACTCTAACGATCATTCGCCTGGTATCGAACGATCTCATGCAACGTCGAATGAAAAACAATATCATCGTCGATCTAAAGATCATGCTCACGATTCCGACGCTCGGTCAAATATAGTTACTTATCAGATCGATGATTTCGACAATTCGGATAAATTCGAACGGTCCAACCAATATGACGACGTCAAAGAATCTCGTCGCTTAAACCGTGACCACCATTCGACAGAATCGCGTCAATCGAACCGATACAATAAACGTTTTACCGAAGACGATCGCGGTAAAGATCATTCCACGGACGACCTCGAGGAGTCGGATTTATTGAACCATTTGGGCCATTTGCACCAGTGGTCGCGACCCGAAGACTTCAATGGACCGCGTCGTAAGAAAACCAGAGACAATAAAACCGACGAAATAGATTTTCTCGATCAACCAACTGTAAATTACAAAAGGGTTCCGCGAAGAGGAGACATAGGGATCCAGAGTTTAGACGAAAGAGGTGAAATAATAGTCCCCTTTTTCTTCTTTTCTTGTTAATGACTTTCCAATATTTGTCTGAATATCAATGCGACCATTTTCGAACACTATCGTATCATTACATTTTGGATAGACTGACGGAAAATTACAATTTTACAGCTTGTCTCACGGACAGTCAAATAGTTAAAACTCTGAACGAACTGATCGTTGCTACCAAGAAGGTCTGGAGAGAAATTGAGTTGAATGTAAGTAACGCTATCATAGTCCAAACCCCATTAGCTAATTTCTACTACATGTAAGTTCCATTATCCGAACAGGCTACGTTTCAATTAAATATCCGTTCTTTTCTTCTTGATATAGCCAGTTAATACGATTAAAATTTACTCTGATAGATTTACTCTGATAGAAACAAAAAGTTCGCGTTCTTCGACGTTATTGTTTCAAGTAACAGATGTTGTATTAAGAAATAAAAAAGTGTACATTAGATACGGATGCGCGGTGAACTCCTATACGATGATATTTTCGTATTTCTTCGTGTAACGACCGTTACATTAATCCGACTCGTAACAATCCTTTTCTTTTCAGAGACTGGAAACGCAACATCTGCGACAACTAATCGAAAATTGTGCAGGCTGTCGCGTACCCCTCGGTGAGTGAAGTTGCGTTGTATTGAAATAATTATTATTAATCGTCAAGAACATTTCTTTCCTGTTACTTTCTCGTTTTTCTTTCGACGTGGTTTTGCTCCGTCACAGTTTTTGCATGAAAACTGTTTCAACTTTGCTACGGTACTTACAAATGTACAAATTATCTAATATGGGCGACGAGAGAGTATTTATATCAATGTATAAAACGGTCTAACATTGCAATAAACGTGTCATTTTTGCAAATTGGAATACTTTTGTGACTCGTATATCAGGATAGAGTGGAAAGTAGCTAGAGAAAGTGAGAAACGATCAGAATGAACATGAAAGTGTGGTAACGAGTGAAGTATAGTCAACATTCTAACGTCGAACGCGTTTCATCGTTATTCTATTTCATTTTATTTGATCTTATCTCGACGTTGGTCTACCCTGCCGTACCCTACCGTACCTCGCCTCACCTTACCTTAATTCGTTTGTTAAGAATTGGCAAGGTTGGTAGATACGTAGAGAAAGGAAGCATCAAGTTTGGTATTATAAGAGGGTACACGCATATTGAGTTGATCAGAACACGGAATGGAAGACTAACGTGGTCGAATATACGAAAACATCGCAAAGTAACGAGGACACGAATTTTGAATATGCCGAACAAGTGGGTATAGTCGAGAAGAAAAACAGAGGCCCGTGGGTCGTATCGTACCGTTTCATAGTAATCGAAAGCGAAACGGCGCGGCGCGGCGCGGCGCAGCGCAGCGTACTAACGTAACGTGAAAAACATCAAGATGGATCGATATATCAAGATTTTTGAAGACGAGTTGCACAGTAAAGAGAATTCTATCTAACGGGATACTAAAAAAGGTATGTTTCAAAGGAGGGGAAGGGAGCTAACAACTAGCACAGAAGACTCGAAAGAATTTAGATGTACACTTACAAGATCCACCCTGCACACACTTCGTATCTCAGTAACACCCCCGCAAACACCGGGTTTTGTGAAACGCCGTTTGTTACACGGACAGTTCCAGGAAGTAGTGGATTTTTCTTTGTAACATCTTGCTGGACGAGGTTCGTAACAACTTGAGGAACGTTGCTGTAATTTCACAGTTCCACCGACGACCACAACGGCAGCTCCGCCTCCTACGTGCGATTATAAGTCACCCTGCTTCCCGGGAGCTGATTGTCGCAACACTCCACGTGGGCCACAATGCGGCGCTTGCCCCCCAGGTTATACCGGAGACGGATATCGTTGCGCTATAGCGGTCGTTACCTGTGCGAGCAAACCGTGCTTTCGCGATGTCCCTTGTTACGACCACGCGGACGGCTTCAGGTATTTTTCATTTTCATTATTTGAAATATAGTGTCATTTTCAATGGGACAATAGTTGCACCGCCGTAAACTTTCATCAACCATAGGAAGTTGAGTGTTTGTTCATCCAAAATCCTTGGTGTTTGTCGACGAGCGTGCAATACGATGTAAGATGTACAAAGTTGCCGCGAGATCGCGGACAAATCTATCGTTCGTCGTATTACTTATGAATTCTATCTAGATTTATTTTCATTAACACTTAGCCCTCAAAATTAATTGTTGAAGTGCCTTAGCGAAAAGTTCTGCCGCTCGCATGAGTGATGCGGCGTTCAACGTGATACACAGAGCGTAGATAGAGTAGGGGAGCCAAACCTCCATCTGGACTACTCAGCCAAATATTGGCTTTAGCACTTACTGAAAGCCAGAATTGGGAGATTCGATATTCAAACAATTAACTTTCTCTTCGTTTTACGATTCATCGAGGTCTTATACTTTAAACACCCGTTCAACTTCGATCTGATGACTAGTAAGAATGTTTATTTTTGAGTTTCTGGGAGATTCAATATTGAGACAATTAGCCTTTTCTTTGTTCTACGATTCATCGATTCATCGTATACTTTGAACCCTCGTTTAACTCCAATCTGATGGCTCGTACGAGATTCTTTGGTATCTTCTTATCGACGAAGCCATGCACAAACGTCAGGGTATGTACCCTTATTCGCTCGCGGAATGAGCGCATACTACGTCGAGTAGCGGGAAACCCCTTCCGTGACTTCAAATCAAGTTGCAGCGGAATCGGATTCACGTGGCTTGTTCTCTCTGCGCCAGTTAAGTTATTTCTACCGTAAATAATAAGCATGTAAACTTTCCAGCTGTGGAAAATGTCCTTCTGCCTATATTGGCGATGGCATACGTTGCGAGCGTCGGAGAAACGGTTGCGAGCTAAATCCTTGCTACCGAGAAGTAGAGTGTGAGTCAGTCGTTTACCCACCATATTACAGGTACCAATGTCAAAACGGATACCATGACGATGCTATTGGGTTCATGTATAATTACCCGACGTCTTTGTTTTCGTATCGTTCAATCGTTTGAAATTAACGTTTCCTTTTCGTTATTGAATCAGATGAATTAGAGTTCTACTCCATTAAAAACGTAACGGGCAATCCATTTAATCATTACACGTTACTTTTTCAAATTTTAATGGACTATTTAATAGTTACCCGTTACATTTTTAATTTACAATAAACCACTCGTCCGTTACTCGCTACTTTTGTGATTTGTAATGGGCCGCTTGCGATCTGTAATCGAACGGTCATCCATTATATATATTTTTTTACATTGGACAAATATTGTCTTCAAAAACAGTCGGACAATTATGCATCAACCTAATATCTATCAATTGGAACTCTCTGTAACTGTCTCGTGGCTATCCTCTCCACTTCTCAGGCCTATTGACTTTAGCGAGCTTCGGTGTCAAGCCACGATCCCATGGTTGTAGGGTGTGGTACAAAAACTCATCAAAGTAATTTCCCAGGTACAATAACACGTCACTTGTTTCTCTCGCATGGGACATGGACACACGGTACATGGGATACATTTACAGTTAGCGCCTCTTATAAATATAAACACATTTATATCGTATCTGTCGAAGCAAACACTAGCCGACACTAGAGTAAACAGAGGAGCGAGAAGTTCAAGTACGCAAGCACATCGAATAAACTCAATACGTTGTCGAGTTATATTTTCCGATGCTCTGGCTATCTTCTAATATGCGCTGTGTTCGCTAAGAATTCCATGAAATTACATATTTTCAACTGCATTCATTCGCTAAAAGCTAAAGAACAATCGAATGTTATAATATTAATAAAATACAAACAAGGCTTTTTTTATCATGGTTTGTCTGAGCGTAGTCTAACAAACGCTTAAATTACGAACAAAACTTTTGGTGCAACTTACAATACATTTTCTGGTTTTCCTTCAAAATAACATTGAAATTAACAAAATCCGGCTTCATCGCGGCTCTTTCGAATCGCACAATTTTTTCATTTTTATCGTGGTAATTTTCAGATGTGGTCCATGCCCAAACGGCTTCATCGGCAATGGTACCTCATGCATTGACATGAACGAGTGCGATTTGGCACAGCCTTGTCATCCTGGAGTGCGATGTATCAATCTACGTCCTGGATATAGATGCGAATCTTGTCCGGTGGGATATATCGGGCCCACTACGGAGGGAATCGGAATAGAGTTTGCTAAAGTGCATAAACAAATATGTCAAGACGTAAACGAGTGCGAAAATAACAATGGAGGTTGCGACCCATATATGGAATGCATCAATACAGAGGTAATTTACTTAACTTTATATTAAAGTATATCGTTTCATTCGCGACAAACGAGTCAGATTTTCCCCGAAACATGTTCCGTTATTTTGCTTCGTTCCAGGGTTCGTACAGATGCGGAGCGTGCAGGGCAGGTTTTGTAGGAAATCAAACGGTTGGCTGTCACCCGGCGCACAATGTTTGTCCAGACTTGACGACAGTTTGCGATTTAAATGCCGAGTGCGTCTGCATCGATATCGATCAGTACAGATGCAGGGTAATTGTCAGACACCTAGTGTACCAAAACGATTATTAAAGGCTTGATCTGCTTAAATATGTTTAAAAAAAAAAGTTGAATTTTGCTTTTTTACATACTCGAAATGCTTCTGATTTTAAAACGATATCTACGTTTGACGTTTAAAAAGGATGCGATTTTCAGTGCCGCGTTGGATGGGCCGGAGATGGACTTCTTTGCACCGTCGACCAGGACAGCGACGGAATTCCCGATAGAAATCTTCGGTGTCACGATCGACGTTGTCGCGTAGACAATTGTCCACTGACGCCAAACAGTGGCCAGGAGGACACGGACCAGGACGGCGTGGGCGACGCGTGTGATCCAGATGCTGACAGCGACGGCGTGCTAAATTCTTCGGATAACTGTCCCTTGGTTTCAAATCCTGGTCAGGACGATACAGACCGAGATGGGCCAGACTCGGTTGGGGATGTCTGTGATAACTGCCCCTTAGTCAGAAATCCAAAGCAAGAGGATACAGACGGTGACGGGATTGGAGACGCTTGCGACAACGATATCGATAACGATGGTATCGTATTGATTACAAAACTTTTTTTTATTCGACCACCCTATATACGCAGGAAATTTCTGCAATTGTAATAAACGATACGTCTAAAATGATACGAGAAAAATATATTTCAACAATCCGTGAAGTTCCGTGATCGGTGTAGCGAGAGAAAGAAGAAACGATACATTTTCAAATCGCTATGTGCAATCGAAACTGTGCTCGTCCGCTTCGTGAAAATATTTGAATATTTTACTACGGACTAATCCATAGGCGGTACTACATTTCTATTTTTATTTGTATTAAAAAAAAAAAAAGAAAAAAAAAAGAAGGAAAAAGAAAAAGAAAAAAAAATAAGAATAAGAATAAAAATTAGGATACAAGGATACCCTTGTTTTTCCAGGTATTCCAAACCGCCAAGACAACTGTCCAAAAAAGATAAACTACGATCAAACAGACTCGGACCACGACAGGATTGGTGATGTCTGCGACAACTGTCCGATCAATCTGAATACAGATCAAATGGACAGAGATGGAGATGGAGTAGGCGATGTTTGTGATAACGACAGCGATACAGACAGGGATGGCATACAAGATGACAGAGACAACTGTCCCGATATAGCGAATCCCGGCCAAAACGACAACGACGGCGACGGTATAGGAAACGAGTGCGATCATGACATAGATAATGACGGCATACTGAATTATCAGGACAACTGCCTTTACGTGTATAATCCAGATCAGCGTCACACTCATCGTAAGTAAATGTTCGAGGATCGATACTAATGATAATTTTGTTTCCTACGGACAAAAGGAGAATGTTGAGAAATGGGCATTTTGGGAGCTGCTATTAACTGCATTCGTGCCTCCTATTACATAACAAGTCGATACGTAATTTTAGTTTAACGAAACTTTCGATATACTTTTCAGATGAAAATATTGGTGACGCTTGCTGGAACGACTACGATAACGACACCGTGATAAACATTCACGACAACTGCCCTAACAACAGTTTAATCTGGACGACAGACTTTCGAAAATATGTCACGATTGCTTTAGATCCTTTTGGCATCGCTCAGGAAGATCCCGTGTGGAGGATAAACAACGATGGTGCTGAAATACAGCAGCTTGTGAACAGTGATCCTGGAATTGCTATCGGTAACTACAATTTATACAATAAAAGCAACAGATTTTTCTGGCGCCACTGTAGCTCGGGTAACTCGGGATCGTTAAACCCGTACTGTAGCTACAATCAAACATAGCTACAGGGCCCGAGGGTTTACAGAAATAGAAATAGAAAAGAGAATAGCCCGTAGGGAACGTACTGATATTAGAAAGACAAACATATCGTTAATTTTATTATTTTCTTCGACAGGACCGGATGTATTTAGCGGCGTAGACTACGAAGGCACATTTTTCGTCGACGACGACGGAGACGACGACTTTGTTGGTTTCGTGTTCTCTTATCAAGACTATCGTAGATTCTACATCGTAACCTGGAAGAAGAGCCAGCAGCCGTACTGGATGGCGAATCCGTTCCGTGCAGTCGGGGATCCTGGAATCATTTTGAAACTCGTCGACTCGAGCACCGGTCCCGGTGAACTTCTTAGAAACAGTCTTTGGCACAACAAGGACACTCCGAATCAGGTGAAGATACTTTGGCGGGACCCAAAGAAAATTGGCTGGAAGGAGAAGACCTCGTACAGGTGGCAACTGTTGCATAGGCCAAGAATTGGTTTGATTAGATTCAGGCTTTACCAAGGGAAACAATTGATGGCTGATTCCGGAAACGTTTACGATTCAACTCTGAAGGGCGGCCGACTAGGCGTATATTGCTTCTCTCAGGAAAAAATCACTTGGTCGAACCTGCTATACACGTGTAAAGGTAAGAAGAGCAGAAATTTTAAATGAGAGATCGTTTCTTTTACTCTAAACATATACTCGTCAACTTTACCGCTGAAATATCAATTTTAGCAAACGCATTATTTACATAGTAAGATATGCGTCTTCGTTAAATGTAATAATTGTAATTTTATTTTTCAGAAACCGTGCCGCAATCAGTTTGGAACGAGTTGCCTACAAATTTGAAGAAGGAGATAGCTGCAGAATTGAGCAATGAAATTAGACCTCATCACAGACAACAACAACGCGAGGAATACAACTTCTTCTAAATCTTCCGAATTACGCTACTGGATTAAAGAGCATAAATTTGATTTGTTACGTAACTTACGTGTATATATGTTTACAATACCATATATTTTATTTAACGTTCATTCGATTCTGACCAAATAATCTTGTTTTACGATTATGGATTGCATCAATTTTGTTTTCGAATTCGAAATATAACATTTAGATATTATGCATTATTTTACATAATTAATTTAAATATTGTATACTTTGTGATTATTGTTCTTATCTTAGTCCAGTATTGTTTTTTTAAAAAGTCGGATAGAAAATGAATACACATAAAAACAACGAAAGAGTATGCTTATAGTTAGTATGCAATTTAAAAAAGATATCAATAGTCGCAATGAAAATAATGGTTAATTTAATTGAATAAAACTGCAAATATTAAAGAAAATGTTTATTCTACACCATGTGTGATATCCTCTTTTACATCAAATGTGACAGTAACGTGAAGTAGTCGGATCGTACAAAATTGTAATAATAACTAAAATAGAAAATGTAAAAATAGTAACGATTTATGTTTGTATAACTACAGACGGAACACACACATATATATATATATATATACATATATTTGACAAAATTTGTTCATGACCGGTAATATAAATATGTTCACTATGTCTCGGGTTGTTTTTTGTTATTAAGTAACGTTAATTCTATACTACTGTCACTGTCTTTCGTTTGTATCTCCACATCATATGTATTGGCCTGTAAAAATAAAAAATTCAACAATTTTTATCAAATTTAAATCAGCGACGGTACAAATATACTATTATAATTTAAGCGAAAGTACCAATTGCAATGAAGCTAAAAAATATCTAGCTACTTCGCAAGCAGATTTGTCGTGAACGACACTATCAAAATTAATCTTCTTTTGATCCACAGCCTGTAGAGTATCGATTATGCGAGAGGTATAATCATGAATTCGAAATGTAGATCTGATTTCAGCCTCAGCCAATTTTTGTTGCAGAGAGGCATGCCACCTAGCTACAGTTTGATCTAATTCGGTTGCGATATTAGATTCCTCAAAAATCTCTTTCATTTTACCTTCGATTAAAGTCTGATAATCTGGTAACGAATACATCAAATCGTCTGAAATTGATGGTTCATACGAATTGTTATATAATGTAGAGGATTTTTCACTGATGTCAAATGAATTATGACGAACAGTCGATTGTGATTGGATATCGATAGGTGAAAAAGTTCTATCCATAATCTCTTCGGTATTATCTTCAATGAAATTGTTTTCCAATGAATCGTTAGTTACATCTGTTGTAACTTCATGACAAGAATTATCATTGTCTATTTCTGTTTCATTCAAACATTCATTAAAACTTTTTATAAAATCTTCCAATTCCTCTAATTAAAGAAAAACAAGATATATGTATTTAAAAATATTACGTCTTTTTAAATAATGATTTATCTCGACTAAACTCACGTTTTCGTAAGCACTTAAATTTTTGTTTTGCTTGTAAAATAAAATCTCTTTTCTCAATTCTAAACAATTCAGTTTCATATGAAATAAATTTCGTTAAACACTCCGATTCATGCAGTTTTGATGCAAAATGCTTACGCTTTTTCTGGAATTTAAATGAGATATATAATTAAAGTATTAAAAGTATAACCCAAACAGAAAAAGAATTAAACATTGTAAATTTATACATACTGAGCCGAATTTCGTTTCTAAAAGAGAAATGTATTCTGGAAGCTTTAAAATGGTTGAATTATCAAACAATGAATTTTTCATTCCATGAATTAATGGCATTGGTTTCCAGTCAAATTCATTTATACCATCTACAGAACATATCGACAATTTTGTCGATTGATTCCTAATAAAAACATTAATGTATGCAAAGACTTAATGTCAAATTTCAGATGTAATATGAAGATTTTTTAAAAAATACCCTCTTTTCTGCAAGCCAAATACTCCTTCCTTCAATTGTAGTTGATCACCTTCATCAATAAGACCTAGTTGCTTGTGATTGTTTGTCAGTTTATTGATAGCTGCACATTTTTTATTTCTTTTATCATCGCTTTGACATATTTCTTCAACTCTAGTAGTTTCCTCTGAACTCTCATTTTCAAATTTTCTTTTCATTTTATTAATTTCTTTATAATTAAGAATTGAGGAATTTTTATCAATAATATCTACTGAATCCTGTAGCAACTTATTTTGAATATGCTGACTGTTGGGAACAATTTTCTCTATATGTAATTCTTGTGAAATATTAGAGTTGGCACAAGAGATTTCATGGTCTTCATTTATCATATTTGTTTTCTCTACAATTTCTGATTCGCTTGCCACAGAGACATTGTCTATTTGCAGAGAAAAATTATGATCTTCAAATTCTTCATGAATGGATGTAGTAAATTCATTGTCATTAAACGAGGTAGCTGACTGATATCCTGAAGTTCCAGTACCAGGTGTTTTTGGTTCTGAATAAGATGATAATGAATTTCTTCCTTTCTGAACACGAGAGCTACATATACAATTAAAGTCATAAGGTGTTAATTCATCCACCAGCATTCCACTAGTATTTACAGCTTGATTGCACCTTGAAATTAAAAGTAAGCAATGATAAATGAAAACTACATACAAAGAAGATCAATATCAATCTACTTACCGAAAGTCATATTTCTTCCCAATGATTTCTCCTAGTACATCATAAACTTGAATAGGGTTAGATAACTGAATTACATTATTTTCTAATTGAGTAAAACGGTGACTTAATAATTTGACTTTCTTCTGTACTTGAAATTGATTCTTTTTATTAATATTTTTTCCGACATTTGTTTCTAAGTCACTAATAACAAAGTTTTCAAAATCAATGTATCCTTTTTTAGAAACCCTCTTTTCATTAGTTTTACTTTCTTTACTTGACTTTTTTAATTCTTCTTCCCTATTGAAAATGTAATTGGACTATCAACTGTGACACATATGTCTTCAACTATATTTAAGAGCAATAGTTACTCATAGCCAAAGAATACTTGTTTCACAACTCCTATCTCGTTAAAGAGACATTCAATTCTGCGTACATATACATTGGTTGAATTTTGAAGAACAAGTGCTGCTTCTCCAAAGTTTATACTACATGGATCTTCTAATAATGCATAATATTCCTCTAAAACCTAAAATAGTGTATGATTATATGTTAAATTTAATAATTATTATTCTAATGCCATTTACCTGAGATAATGGAAATTTCCAATCTGCAAGATCCTTTGCTGGCTTCATAAGCTGTATACTAATATCCTGTAGTGTGACCATTTTAGATGCTAAGTATTCACAATTCTAAGGATATTTTATTAAATAGAGATATTGTTTTGATGATTACTTTACATTTTTAGAACAACACAAATGATACTTTCAGTCACAATCATTTCATTGCATTTCTTCATATACATAGTGATAAATATCACCATTCAATATTCTAGACCTAGACCATAGAGCACAGAGAGTAGTTATTAGTTGGTACCGATTAGGATTTTTAAGCCATAGACGATACGCGCAGATGAGATACCTTTCAATTCATATTTGTTGGTATGGGGCGCTAGCAGCGCTAGTAGAGATTGACATCACACCATTGTTGAGCTCTATCATAAGGATAGAAGTTAGGATAGAGCTGGGTAGAGCTCAATGCTGCTACAGAGAAAGCTTACAGAGCTTGCTGCTTTTCTGGATGCACCCGTTGGCTTGCAAGCCTACATTATAAGCAAGTGACGCCCACCTATAATAGCTTTGCGTGGGACCTCCTATTGGCTCGTTTTTAGAACGATAAAAATCCGACTGTGATCGATCGAGGCAAATTAAGGCTGCTATCTGCTATACAGAATCGTATTGAATCAAGAACACTCAATAACGATTCGTTACACCGAAACTTTGTTCTTTTTAATAAATTTTAATAAAATCGATTCATTCGACTGCTCACCGACGTGTAGAATCTGTCGATGTTCATCCAACCGTGTACACGATGGAAAATCATCGTCGAAGCGTTATGAACGGACCATTATGCTTCGTTGAAGATTTTTCTTTTGATGAATAATAGACTCGAGTTGGTTCGATTCTCGTAAATGCGTCAGGTTATTGTACCGTCGGGGGATCCTTTGTCGCTCGATGGATCACGATCTGTTGTCTTTTTACTGATTCCACAAAAGATTAAGATCGACGAGTGAACAGTGAGATATGTTCATGAGTGAAATCCTTGAAGAAATCTATCGAATAACCTGCATCTCTTGACATCTACTCGGTGTCGATCGGTCCATCGTTACGGTTTACAGAATTGTTCTCGTATCACCTGAGAAAGAAACTCTACGACACTCGTCGCGTATCGTGGTGTTCGCGATGATACGGCAGGAAATAACCCTGGCGAAGCCGGCACGAAAGAAACGGAACGTCGATGAACTTATTGACGAATGATTTTCAAGAATTTCATAGAACAATAGTCCTTAGCGCGTTTCGTACTGTTTACGGATTTGGCTGCTTGTCATAGATATATCGATGTTCTTGGAGAATCATTCTTGAAGTATTATAGGTAATAACCGTGTTTTGTTGTGTCTTCTTTTTTTTCTGTAATATTGTTAGTTATACTTTTAAGAAAAAATTTGTTAGCAGTTATACATGAAATGGGTAGTGCTTGGTGGCAGTGCGCTGCATGTTTGAGAGCACAGGAAGAAGATATTTGTGAGTTACACTTGAGTCACTGTAATCTTTACGATGTACCACCCGATGTGTTCATTTACGAAAGAACATTGGAAAAGCTGTATCTGGATGCCAATAGAGTAATTATGAATGTTACAAGTTGCTTCTTTATATATACTTTTCAATAATTTGTTGTAGTCCTTCAAACTAGACATAGAAACACAATGTACTTTTTTTTACAGATAAAGGATCTTCCACGGCCACTGTTTCAGTGCCATGAATTGCGAGTACTCTCCCTTAGCGATAATGAAGTCACCACGTTACCACCCGCCATAGCATCGTTAATCAACTTGGAATATTTAGACCTCAGTAAAAATAGTATGTATATAATGTTATTTGGTTTAAAATCTTTTGTTACCAAGTATTTCTTAATTTTATCGATGTTACATTTATTTTTGCAGGTATTAAAGAATTACCAGACAGTATAAAAGAATGTAAAAACCTTCGTTCTATTGATATCAGTGTTAACCCTTTCGAACGTTTCCCAGATGCTATTACACATATTGTTGGGTTGCGAGAATTATATATAAACGATG